TCTTTCATTCAGCTGATTCAATATGTGTAATCGTTTCTTGCTTCATCCTTTAGCTCGTTCATATGTGCTCGTATGTGGGATACACTCTCTATATTTAAATACATATTGTGTATAGTAGTAGATCATATGTATGTATATATCAGGGACTTCTGTGCAATTATGCCTATATAGTGAATGCAAACACAATGAATGCTAAACGTATTTTACAAGAAAAATGTGTAAAAAAAAAATTAATCGGATACAGTAAATTATAATAGCATTATTACTCTTAAGAAGTCTCTCTCTGTTTGGAAATCTCAATTTACGAAAATGAAACGTCAGGAATTAACGATTAATATGACAAAAGAAATCATAAAGTGTTCGCGACCCTTTTGAAAAAGGCCTAATGCCGCTTAGGTCGAGTAGTCTACGGCACCGCCGCCGTTCTGCTGCATGCGCACAGAACGACGTCGCGTCAAAATGCGAGCAGGTGACGCTACTACTCCCGCATCAGTAGGCTCAGGGCATACCACGACTCCAGATTCCAGAACGTTAGCTAATGTTGGCGGTACAACCGCTGACACAACTGCTGCTGCGGCCTCCTCGGTGGCAGTGATTCCAACAACAGCATTATTATTTTCCAGGATCACCGACGTTGCCATCGTAGTTGCTACCGTCGCTGCTGCTGCTTGCAACTCTTCCTCCAATTGGGAGCTGCGTCGCGTTGGCATGCCTCGCAGCTTGGACTTCTTGGGCGGCAGTGTTCTGGGAGCACTTACTTCCCTCACTGTTGTCACTTCCTCGACACTGTAGCTGACAGGGGTCGGTGCCACCACGTTCGTGGTCGTCTCCTCTTCGTAGTTCCTCTTTCGTGCCAATCGCACCGCATTCCCATTACCGTTGCTGTTGCTATTGCTATTGCTTATTTCATCGGGCAGAATATGCTCTGCGGGATTAGACAAGATTTGTTCGTTGTTATTAACGGTCTTGGTCTCCCCGTTCAGATGGTCGGCATTTGTGGCTTTGCTTTCCAGGGTGGCGTTCTCATCGATTGTCTCTAGTTTTCCCATCGTTAAGGGGGTCGGCGTCTGTGGCGGTGACATCTTGTTCGTGCCGTTGGTGGTGGGCGGTGGTGCCAAGGCAACGGTCTCGTCCCTCGTGTGAGCCTGCTTCAGCTGAGCATTGTCCTTCTCCAGTGTTTGGATGCGATCGCGTGTGGTCTTCAGTTCCTGCTGTAGAAACAATATGGTGCTCTGCATGCCCTCCACATCCTCGTCCAGCTCTTGCAGAAAGTCATCAAGCTCTGCGAAAAATCAGAAATAAATGTCAGATGTAGCCAAGGCAGAAAATTGTCCTTGAACTTACCCGATTGCGATTTCTTCACCTCCTCGCTGAAGCTCTTCTGCATGGCCAATTCAGTCTCTAGCTTTGCCAGCCTTCCGTTCGATGTCATCTTGCCCAGCTCCTCGTTCTCCTGGTAGAGCAGTCGGCACTTGGCCATCAGCCGCTTTCCTGTGTTGGAGTCCGGCGTAAACTTCCAGGCGGACAACTCGTTCTGGGTCTCCTCCAGCTTGGTCTTGGTGGCCTTTAGCTCCTTCTTGAGTCGCTCAAAGAGCAGATTGACGGCTGGATCCAGCAGAGCGGTGCGCAGCGCCAATGCTGTCGGTGCCTGCTGTGCCTTGTACTCGGCAATTTGGCTCTTTATAGGAATCAGAATTAGATGCGTTTACAGGAAAGTTTTGTGCTAACCTACCACATAGTCCTGAAACTCCTGCTCCTTGTTGGCCAGCCGCCGCATAAGGATCTTTTCGCGACGCTGGGCATCGGCACAGATCTGCCCCATGCGTACCTGCTCCACCTTGAGGGTCTCGATCTCATCTGCAGGACGGAAAACAAAGTTAGGGTCTGTGTTAGACAGCTATTCGTGGAAGCCATTCGCCTTAAAGGTCTGGCAGTCAAGGCAATTCTTATACACATATGCCAGCCATTGCACTGCCATTTGTCTTTTTGAACAATTATACATGGTATTTAAGAAGTTCTTGGGACAGAGTGTGTGTTTTTTGATAAAAGGGAACTTAATGCGAGATCATACCAATGCGTTGCAATCATTCGTGTAAGTTCGTGACATTGTTGGTGGAAAAGGCCGCCGCCGCAGCCGCCGTCCTTCGCCAGGCTCTTGTTGGGCGCGGAGGGGGTTGTCACGAGTCACGGTTTTTGGGGAAACTTGAACACGATTCATTCTTTATCTTGCACTTATCAGATCATATATTGCTTGATTGCTTTGCTTGCTTGAGCTCTTGCTTTTACTTGCATTATTTCTCGATTTCGATTCGATTTAGCTTTTCTTTTTGCAAACACTGTGGGAAAACAGCAACAAACGGTTGAACAGATTTTATTGTGGCAGAACGGAAAATGATTTTGAAAAACACTTGCAAAAAACTCGACGCACACACACACACATTTAGCTCAGAAAGCTCTCGGAGAAAGCTTTCCACTCTCTTCATTCATTCAGCATTGCTTTTGCTTTTGCTTTGCGGCATTTACGAACACTCTTTTGTGATATACAAAAAGTTTATTGACTTTGGTTATTTTGTTGTATTTGACTTTTTCTTGTTGTGCAAACACACTTTGTATTTATTTATACAATTAATTAATTTATGCAAACAATTGCGTTGTAGAACGAACTCGCAGAGGTACCTGCATCGTGTGTGCATGTGTGTAATTACAGTTAATTAACTGCTTAAATGCTCTCCCTCTTTTGCCAGGCAAAATTATTGCCGCTATTATTTAACGACACTATTTAATTGCTTATCTTATCGAAAAGAGCAACAAAACCAAGTCTTGCACACCGAACACACACACACAATCCACGGGCAGAGCTCTTTGGCGCCTTTTTTATTTATTTATACAACTTTGAGAGTTCTTTGGCCATGATTTTATATATATTTTTTGATTATATTTTCTCTTTCACTGTATACCGGGATAACACAAAACTTGAACAGAAAAATAATTGCGATTTATTTATGCGCTCTCTTGTGCGTTATTTTATATGTAATACACTCGCCTTTCCTTGGCGCTTTATTCATTTATAATTTCTTTTCGTTTTAATGGACTCAATGGATTCAAATGGGGGCGAGTATGGCAGAGAGACGAGAGTGGGAGCTATATAGAGAGAGAGAGAGAGAGACAGAGACAGATTGATGGTGGGGGAGCCAGAGACACGTTGGCGGCTCGCTCTGGCAAACGAAAAAGTGGTCAAAACGAAAACGCAAAACTAACTGTACACAGCGACGGACGACGAACAAGAGAACGCGAGAGATTTTCGAGATCAATTTATTTTGGTTTACATTTTGTTATCATATTTATATTTGATTGTTCTTTTGCACAACACTTTTACAACACTTTTGCTTTATTTTATTCATGAAGTTAATTTATTTTCAATGAATATTTTTACTGGTTTATGCATTTGTGGCTATTTATCGGTTATATACCCGTTTAGCGTTCATTTCTCTGGCACTTTCACATTTCCTGAAGTTTTATTTAAAAATAAAAATAACAAAAGGTTTATCTAAAGTTTAGATTCTAAACGCTGCTGGAAAGTGTTCTTCCGCAAAGAGTGTTCGCTTCGAGGATCATATCGTGGCACATACGTGGAGTTATTTTTCGAGTGTTTTTCATAAACAATTTCTCCTGCGCACAAACCAAAAAAGAGTGCAGGTGGTGGATCGATAGGAAATACTTACAGGGTATTTAGATAGACAGAGAGTGAGAGTTTAAATCAAGAATGGGAACTAGGCAAATCATGAAATTATAATACAATCAATTTACACCAATTTTTACACTTTCGTTTCTGTTCTTCCCGCTCTTTTGTTGTATATAAAGATAGAGTATATAGGAGGAGCTTTGATTACTGTTATTTATAATACCTTCGAGCAGACGCTGGCGCTGTTCGGCGGCTGCAACAGCCTCGGCAACAGCGGCATGTTGTTGTTCTTGCTGCTGCAGTTGTTGGCGCTGTTGCTCCTGGTTGGGGGTGTTGTGCTGGTGGTGGTGCGAGTGGTGCGGATGATGCGGATGGTGGTGCGGCTCCTCAGACCCGGAGGGTGTCGGCGATGCCGGCCCAGAGGGCGGCACGCCGCCTCCACCAACACCTCCCGCGATGATGCCACTGCTGGCGCCACTGCTAATAAGGTTTATGTTTTGCTCGTATTTGGCTGTCGACATTTTGTCGTAACTGTTCATCAGCGGTCTCTGATCGTCCATAGTCATTGCAGCGACACTCATAACTCGGTTTCAAAAGGCTCTTGTTGTTCGTGTTGGGGGTCCTTTGCCAGCGTTGTTTTGCATATGGGCAGAAAAAATTACACACGTATATGCACCACACACTGCCAATGCGCACACACCAATACACCAATGGCGACGCGGTGGCAAAGAGCGACAGAATTTCGTTGCCCACTTCCAGATGCCAAAAACACGTACTTTTCACGTACTTGCAACGTTGAATTATTGATTACGTGGTGGATTGTTCATTTATTATCACTTTTATTATATTTTTATGTGGTTATTTGCACTTTCATGGCGATATTTTACAATTTTTCACGCAACGACGCAGTCAAGATGAAATTTGTGTAGAATCAACATGGCGTCCGAATCAGTGTGACCGTGATGATAACGATAAAAAATACCATCCGTTATGTTGGTCTTAATTGAGATGGCAAATTTTAGCAGCATCTGCGATAACGATAACAACTGCCACGGAGCTGCTTCCATCTCAGCTGATGCTGATAACAGCGCATTTTACAGCACTAAATTTTTGGTATTTTTATTTTCGTCCAAAAAATAAATACCATTGAATACCATTTCAGCTTCGAGAAATACCATACCATAAGAAAACCAGGCAATCCGGCGATCAAAGAAGACTTAAGCCACTATTTTCTCATACAAATCATGCGGGATATATGGCGAAAAGAAAAATACCAAAAATGTAGTGCTGTAAAATGCGCTGTTACCAGGAAGCAGCTCCGTGGCAGTTGTTATCGTTCTCTGCTAAAATTTGCCATCTCAATTAAGACCAACATAATGGAAACAAAGTGGAAACAAAAGCAATCCAATCCCGCTCCTTCCCTCGAAGAAGCCGTGGAGCTCGGAAGGCGCCGGGCGCCCGGGCCTGGCCCTTGGACAGAGGTAAGACTACCGACCCGACTGCGCCAGTTCATCTATGGCTTATGACGTCTGGTCTGGTTGCACCAGAAGAATGCACCCAAAAAGTTGTGTTGTGTAGTGTGGGCCTATTGCCCAGACTGCAGAGATTATGGGACACCATTGGCTTTGGGCCACCGTCTGCTCGCCCACATTGTGGTCGAGGTCTCGCCCTGATCACCATTTAATTAATCATATTTCTTTTCTTTCCGAATGCCCTGCAGGAATCCCACTCTCCACGTCCCAATGGCGAACATGTGGAGCAACCCAATATCAAGGAACGCTTGAATTTGCATGTCAAGAGACGGCTGCAACAGGATACAGACAGCGCAGTCGACACCACCGAGTTATTGCCTGGTGATCCGTCTGGAAGCGCGGGGAAGCGCGGCAAGGCGAAGGAACCCCTGAAGCAACGCAAACCGTATCAGAAGCGGGCGGAAAAGAATAAAACGGAGACCACAAAGTGCAAGAAAGGTAGATTGGCACAGAGTCCAGGAAGAAAAGACAAAGCTAATACGTTCCAATTTCAGCCACGCAAATCGCCAGCCCAGCGCTGGAAGCGGAGCCATTGGACGAACAGGAGCCTGAAGGCTCCCCAGAGACAACAGAGCATAAGTCGACTAGCCGAGATCGTTTTAAGAATGCGGACATACTAAATATGGTGTTGACCTCCAAGAAACGTGCCCTAATGCAAGATCCCGAGGTTCAGGCATTCTGGTCTCGCATCATGGCAGTCATCAAGAGCTAAGAAGAGGCCGCACAACTGTTAAGCGCGTGTCTCTGTTAAGGGTCGAAACGGCCATCCAAAAAGTATGTTAATGGGAATGCTCTGTTGGCAGAGTGGAGGGAATGTTGTATTTTGCAAAACTTGTTAAGTTAAATAATTGTAGAACTGGAATTGAATGTTCCTTGTGTCAGTGCGCAGTCTCCGCTCTCCCATTTTTGCCGGCCGATGCGGTGGCCTGCGGACAGCTGCAGATTTTCAGCTCAGCTCAGAAGGAATTTCACCGTGTCTGGGGTTGCATCGCGTCGCGTGACCGCACAGCAAACGCCAAGCCAAACCAAATATAATAACACTGCAAATTATCAAAAGAAATCAAATCGTGTGTGTTTGTCGTGCCCAAATAAAATAAAGGTAGTTTGCCCCGACATCGATCAAGTGCACTTTCCAAACCACACAACTGCCTGCTGGCAGTTCCGCAATCCAGGGCCCCATCATTTGGCCATTAAGCCAGCCGTATTAGATAATCTCGCTTGGGGCACGGGCTCCGGCGCGGTTTGCTATCGATTTAACTTTTTTCGCTTGGTTTCTTTTAGGGCGCTCATTCTCACGCTCTCTCTCTCTTCGTTCGGGTCGGTCTGCCAAAGCTTAGGGAGACACCAGGGTGTAAATATATAAGGTGAGGAGGTATTTCCGTACTGCTCACACGCAAAAGTAGCTGGAAGTCAGCTCTGTCGCTCTCTGGGAATGACTGACCCTGTATTAATACACTTTGGGTGACTGCTCTGCTCTGCTCTCTGCTCTTTCTCTCTCGCCGTCCACGCTTTGACTTTGCGCTTCGTCCTTGCGAGAGAATTTGCACTGAAATCGCACTCACTCACCACCCACTCGGCAGAACCACCCACAAAGCCCTTCTTTTCGTTTTCAAGAGTTTCGGGCCTTTCATTTCCATTCTGGTCGGACGTCAGCTTGAAATAGTTCGAGAGAAACCCCCAAGGAAATTAATTCCGCATTCCCACATCATCGTCCGCTCTTATGTAAATGAACACAACGACAACTACAGCAAACATTAAATAGAACAATTCGTTATGTTATGGCAAGAGAAATAACTGAAATAGAAGTAAGGGTAAGGGTTCTGGGCATTATATAACAGCAGTGAGAGTAAAAGTGAAAAGTGACTTCAAAACAAAGCAGCGAAAAGTGAAAAGTGATTACAAAACAGTTTTGGAAAAGGAAAAGGAAAAACCTTTATACTATATAAATACATGTATTAATGGTGTATTATAAATCCTAATTGAATTGTATAACCAAAGCAAATCAAACAGAAAACCAACAAAAAATTATACATATTACTTAATCCTTAAATTATTTTGATGGTAATTCATATCCCGAACAAGCAAAAGTACCTTAAAAGAGTAGAAATACGATAGAAATCTCTTTTAAGACCTGAACCCTATACACACACATACATATATTATATTATACAACAGAGTGCAGCAGAGATACTGATACCCATCTCAGTCCCAGGTGTACCCCGGCTACGAACCACCTGAACCACCACCTGAGTAACTATTTCGTTCCACTTATTCTGCCTAGTTCTTTGGGGCTTGCCGTCGTTCTTTTTTTTTAATGGCTAAATCGATAGGTATGCCTTTATGCCAATTGTCTGACTATTACATAAGAAAAGAAAAAGAAAGAAAAACTAGCCAAGAAAACGGAATCAAACAGACCCTGACAGACCAGACGCAAGGCAGTAAATAACTGGGGGGGGAAAAACATTTCCCACAGGAAATGCCAAAAGACGGAGACACTTGACAACATGCAGCACAATGATGGGGCATGCCACTGAGGGGTATGCATTGTGGGTGGATGGGTGGGTGTTGGTAAACCAGCTCGCGAACTAGGTCATTCATTGAATTTTCTGAAGCCACAGAGCGGATGGGACGCAGGCAGTTGGGTCGGTAGTTAGGTTGGTAGGGAGATGAAATTGATATGAAGACGGATATGGAAATAGAGTGTTGCATGCAACAGAGAATGCAATCAAATCGAAAAGGCACATTCAATATTCAAAGGGGAAGTGCCATAATGGACACACACACACACACACCACCACCACCACCATCCTCCCGTATGGCTGGGGGTACGGCACCTACTCTTCCGCCCGACAACAGTATTTTGTTGTGATTGACGGGTCCGACATGACAACAGCCCCTTGACTACCATATTGATTGGCTTTTCATTCGCCTAGCTGTCCATTTTTCATTTTCCTTCTTCTTCACATGCTTTGTGTTTGTGTTTGTGTGTGTGCCAGAAACCCGAATTCGAGGCGTATGCGTAATATTTCCAACTCTGATCATATTCTACTCTTCCGCTTGCTCAACGTCTAAGCATTTGGAGTGGTGCTCTAGAATTAGAGCTCTACAAGGGCTTCAGTGCATTGCACTTTTCTTGATTACGTATACGACTTGCTGCTTGTAAGAGCGAACAGATGAGAAGGGGTTGCCTGCCAGGAGTGGACACAGCGGCGGTGCAAGAATTTAATTACTTTAGCACACAGGAAATAAAGTTTGGCCCCCCAAATGAAGTCATAGAAACCCTCACATGAAAAGGGAGCACTTTTTAAATTACTTTTGGCCGAAAGCGTAAGCCATAGAACGGGGATACACAGTTTTAACTGTTAATTATTTGTTTTTAGTTGGTTTCCCATCTCATGTCTGGTAATTCTTCCGTTACGACCGCTTTGATGTTCCATCTCAAAGGTAATTCCAAAAATAAATCCCTTGAGCTTTGGTTTACCGTATCTAGGCATGGACTGCCCCCCTCGATAAATGTCTGCGTAATTGCTTCTGTTTAGTGCACCATCTACTGTGGGGCCCACGTCACAATAAGTCACTCGAGGCGGCAAACGAGGCCAACTCGGCCAGGCCTAAAGGGAATGAAATGGCAACGGTAAAGCGCTTGCGATGACAAAACTATTAAAAGATTACCCCTATCGGTGGGGGGTGTGCCGCTGTGGGTGTGTGGGCGGTGCATGGGTTACCTAGCTACAGATTCGCGTAAGCAATAGGTTCCCACTCCATAACACCCACGCCACATGGAGGGAAAATCAATGTTTAAGCAATTACCAGACTGACAGAGTAAATTTACTCGTAGATGGCCGGTATGGAGGCGCCTGGGAAAGGACAGAACTATAAAAAAATCATACATTCCATTCGTGACAATAAAAAATCATAATTAATAGTGATTGTTCATTTTAAATCCACTCTGAGCCACTCTGAGCCAGGGCAGTGATCAAGTTCGACAGCAAGACAGCATTGGATTGGCTTCCACAGGCCCACTAATTGGGTCGTCCAAATGGGTTCCACACAGAGCGCGTCATTACAGTTTCGTTCCAAATTCTCTTGCCCTCAGAGAGTGGAGTGCAAGAGAGGGAGAGAGCGCATTTGATGCATTGCGCCGTCGCTTTTATTACCTCACACTCACCTCCCAAACCCAAACCCAACCCCCGCAGACCCTGCTTTCGAACTGCACTTCTTTCGTACTTCGCTGTGTCTTTACCTATTTGCGTCCCACTTTGCTCTGCCGTTATTTCCATTCCTCTTTGGCCTTTTCCGCATAGCTTTCGGTTTATTTTTGCCAAATAGATTTTCACTTTTCATCGCCGCGGACAAGAGATGAGAGCGAGTGGCCGAGTCGCAGTGGCAGTGGCAGAGCCAGAGCAAAATCTGTTTACACCGAATTAGCAAATGCATTCTCATTTTCCAGGCTAACATGATAATCTAACAGCAGAGGAAAACCGCAAATAGTTCAACGAAAGCCAACCAATTGTTGGATAACGAGAAGGGTGTTCCACAAAGAGACTAAACTCATAAGTAAATAAATAAACGGGAGTGCAGAGTGCAGAGAAAATGTCGCCGTTCATGGAGAAAATGTTGTTGCTGTTAGGCGTGCTCTGCTGCATACAAGGTAAGCGCCACAGTTTATGCAATGCAAAAAGAGGCAACCCTGCCCAGACCGACCGACTGACACACACACACACACGCAATCGCAGAAAGCCCTGACATTTAGCAAACTGTACCTGTACCTGTACCTGCAACTTTATATATGTATTTTTATGTATGTTTATGTATGCTTAACCCACTGTTGCTTTTCCCCTTCCCATCTGCAGTGTCCACTGCCCTGATGTGCTACGATTGTAACAGCGAATTCGATCCTCGCTGCGGCGATCCCTTCGAGCCGTACTCCATTGGCGAGGTCAACTGCAGCAAACAGGAGCCCCTGGAGCATCTCAAGGACAAGTACAAGCCCACCTTGTGCCGCAAAACTGTGCAGAAGAGTGAGTCATGGCGGCCGGCCCCCAAAAACAGCGATCCAATTCAAAATTCAATGTTAATCCTTGTGCATTCCCATCACAGTTTATGGCAAGACCCGCATAGTGCGCGGCTGTGGCTACATTCACGACGAGCGCACCGATGTGGAGTGCGTGCGGCGTTCCGGTACCCACGATGTGGCCGCCATCTATTGCTCCTGCACCAAGGACCTGTGCAACGGTGGCAACTCGCTGACAGCAGCCCCGTGGATGATACTGCCCCTCGCCCTGGCCGCCGGCTGTGCGCTCCTGCTGACCTCCGGGCACACAATAAAAATCCAAAGCTCATAAATTTAGCTGGGATTTAGCGCTTTAACACCTCCAATTTGTATCCTTAATTATTTTCGCCTTACTTTCGATGATTTTCCTTGGCCTGTTTCAGGTCCGGAGTTGATGCTCATTTAGTTGCATAATTTAATTTAATTTAATTGAATGTGTTCGTAAGTGTAAAAGAACTAACAATAAAGTGAAATTTAACTTATGGTCACGCATGATAAAAACAGCAAAAACAAAAACAAAATAAGAGCATAACCGACAAACAAAAAAAAAAAACAAAAGCAGTTATTGGGGGCAGTAATACAAGAATCCACATTTTTCCCTTATTATTATGTTCGAAATTGAAAACAAAATACAGAGAAACTGCCAGTAAATGTCTCCGCCTGAAAATTTGCAAAACTTTAATCCAGAATAAAACTTGACAATGCAAAAACTATAATTAATCAAAATGATTTCCAAGTTTTACTCACACATTTTGTTGGGGCAAAACATCTCAAGAGCCCAACACGAGAAGAAACCCAAAACAAAAATATAAAAAAAATGTATAATTTAACACCCACGAAAGAATAGGGTAACCCTAGAAGGAAACCCCTTCCCTTCGTAAAACCTATGCAAAAAACAAAACAAAAAAAACAAAATAAAAACGAAAGCAAACCAATTGAGAAAATCTATAGAGCATAGTATTTGCAATAATTAGGATTCCGAAACTCATAAGAAACCAGAAAAAATGATTTATATGTAATAACTCAAGACAAAGTATAGGAAGGAAAATTAATAAATATATATGTGTACATACATATATATACATACATACAATACATACATTAAATAGAGGAAATGGGAAAACTATTTACAAAACCAACAACCAGAGAATCCATAAAGTTGGAAACTAAATTATTAAATCATATTTTGTCCATTTTAAGCTTCATACAAAACCAAAACCAAAATAGAAAACTAACGAATAAATCTTCCTAAAATTTGTCCGAAGACAAAACTCATTAAAACATTATGTCCTATGCGGTATAATTTCTATCATCGTCATTGATCCGATCCGGCAAGCCGCCTCCCCCCAAAAAGACACACACACACACACAGATACAGAAAACACCAACAGATAAAGTACAGTCAACACAAAAGCGGTAGCAATAAAAAGAACAAAATGGAAGGAAAACACTAGCCAACACACATTTGAATGCATGGGAGCCGTTGAGAACACATCATTTTGTGTAGGAAAAAGCAAAAAAACAAAAAAAAACTTAATTATATTTATATATCATCGTATACATACAAGAAATTGCATAAAATATATAACATTATATTTATTTAGTTAAATATTATTAAGAATTATACGGAAAGCTAATAAAACTACAAACCGAAAAAAAAAAAACAAAAAATGAGAAAATCGTGAGCATATGTAGATAAACTTAACTAATTTTAATTTATAAACAAACAAAAAACCAAAGACAAATAACAAACCACTAGCCGTTGTACCGTAATTAAAGAAAAGAAAAAATAGATGGAAGGAAACCCAGAGAATAAACAGAAAACTAAACACAATTCTCCAACAAGTTGAATAATCTCAGACACGAATATTATTTAGATTCCACATTCTCAGAGCTCCATTTTATTCGTTTTCTCACTGCAATCCATGACAGGGCAGGTCTTATAAATTTGAAACAAAATGAACAGAATAAAAAATAGAAAAAAAAAACACAAAATAAAACGTTTGAAAAACTCCAAAACGCATTTGAGCACATTCACAAAGAAAACAAAAACAAAAAAAACCAAAAACACGCTGAAATTGATAATACTCGTAATATAAAAAACGAAAAACGATAATGAAATAATACGAAGTTGGCAGCGTGAATCATATCATTGAGCTTTGCTTTACCAGACACGGAGGCGGAAAGAGATTCTAAACTAACATTTAAACTAAATGGAATATATGGAAGAACACAACAGATACTTCAAATTATTATATGCAATTGAGATGTAATAATAATAAAACGAGTAATAATAACACCACAAAACGTTTGCAAAACAAGTTACTGCAACTTAAGGAAGAAAAAAAAAACAAAAACAAAAAACAAAAAAGAAGATATATCTACATACATAAATCCCCAAAATTAAAATTTCGACAAGTCCAGCAAAAAACAAAAAATCAAAGAACACACACCAACAAAAATATGCTTTTTGCTGCGTTTCCTGATTTGAATCTTCTATATATATACATACACACACACACACACACACACACACATATATACCAGCAATATATAAAATGATTCCATTTCCATTTGTTTCGTAAGTTTTTTGAAGAGCAACCAGCACACAAAATGGAAATACAACATACATACATATTATGCAAACAGAAATATAACAGATACAAAACCAAGGCATTAATGAAAAATCGAACAACATCCACACATACATATGTATGAGAAAGAATAAAGCAAAAAATTATGTGAACTTGTTAATTTTTAGCATTTAAGTCTGTAAAGCTCCGCTTGTAGATGAAAAATCAATAAATAAACTAAATACAAATGGGGAAATCGAATAAAGCGAAATCGGATTCAAATGTTGCAAACTTTCACAAATACCTTTGATACACTCGTATTCTTTTTGGTTATTACTCGTAAATTAAATTTTATTTCGTTCCCCACCCCCACAACATTACGAGTTAGGGAAAATTGCATTTTTAGTGATCGGCTGGCTGGCGCTACGCACAATCCTGATGTAGCCCTGCTCGCCCCATCCCGTGCCGAAAGAGTTGAGGCACCTCCAGTAGTTCAGATTGGTATCGGCATCGAAGCCGTAGCCCACCACCACCAGAAACTGAGAGCTGGCAGCCTTGGCGGCCTTGGTGGGCGGCTGATAGACACCGCTCGAATACTGCATGAAGCCAAAGGTCGCCGGATTGTACTCGACCACAACGGGTATGTCATTGGACACATAACGCATGAGTGCGGTATCATCGCCATCGGGCACTACCGAGTAGCTGGTCAGTTGGACGCCCACTGCCACCGATGGGGGCGGCTGGCACATTCCCTGCTGCTTGAGGCTAATGTTGTTTGGATAGTCCACGGTTGGATACAGCAGCGAGTACTGGGTGAGATAGTCGAAGGCCGATTGCGGTACCTGTGTGCTGCAGCCTACGCCCATTCCGGCGCAGTCGATTAGCTGCTGAGCGGACAGCGATTGCGGCATTGTGCTTACAGTCCCAACTGCATTCATAATCTCCACAGCCTTGGCCGCGGCATAGGCCCAACTGCTGCTGCAGTTCACGCCCTGGTCCTCCACCGTAACGGTAATGCCCAGATCCGTGAGGATGTCATACTCGACAGCCGCCGGCTGCGTGGCCACAGGAGGCACGGCATTCGAAACGGTTGGATAGACGGCCTTGGGCAACAGCGCAGCAAACTGGACCAGGCGTATGTCCGAGAATTGGTTCACCGCCTCGCGGTAGGTGGTGATGTTCCTGTCCGCCTGCGCATTGTGCTGATTCACTTGGTTCCGGTTATAGATGAAGTAATAGTTGGCAAAGGAGTTGGCCGATGTGGTCAGATAGGTCTTTCCGTACTTAGTCTGGGAATACAATTTTTGGTCTGATTGGGAGTGGATGGAAACGTCAATGGGGAGGGGGGTTAACCTACCTTATAGGCCTCGAAATCGGTTAAATCCTGGCCGTGATTGAAAGCCCATCCACCGCCGACGACGACGAGCAGAACAAAACAGAGCACCAACTTGTGCATGACGAATACCGAGATAGATACTGATAGATACTGATGCCCAAAAGAACCACTCGATGGGTCTTATATACGGTGGATATTGTCGGCGGTTAACTCTCCTTCTCCTTCCCTTTTCTGATTGCAAACGCAAATACAATAGAAGTCACTTTCGCAAGAAAAGTGCAAATACTAGATTTCTATGCGCCTGCCTGCCCCATTCCGAATAGCCTCGAATTCGCACTTGGCCCCACCACCAGATAGAAGTAGAAGAAGTCTTCACTCCACTCGCAACGTGACGATAAGCCCCGTTAGAGAGCTGCAAGAAGAGTCTCCGTCCCCGTTCCCGTTCCCGTCCCCGTCCTGGGTGCGGCGTAGTGCTATTTACCCAATAAACTTGTCAAATGAGCCTCGTTCCGTTTCGATTCGCCGGATTCTCGTATCTTTGTTAATTTGAAAACCCCACTGGCCTGGTTTTCAGCCGGGCATCGCATCGTAAAAGCAGCTCTAATCACGCCACGCCCCATTTGGGGGCTTCTCACTCTCTTTATGGCAGCAGCAGGCATGAATAATCACATTCATATTCGTGGGCCTCATACTCGTAGGCCTCATAAATATTGCAACATTTTATATGATTGTTTTGTTGTCTGTTTGTTGTCTAAATTGTTGAATTATGCAATTCACAATTATTAGTGAGCGGAATTAGAAGATAAACAGGAACCCCGGGGGAGGCGTATAATATAATATAAGTAGGCTATGCTATGGTATGGTAGGGTTTGTGTGTTTCCCACTCAAGTCAATGAACTTTTCACGCATCATAGCTTAGCAAACGGACCAATAACCTGTTAAATAGGAATCCAAATGGAATCAAATTTGGATGAATGAATGAAGCTGAATTCGCTTGTATTTTCATTATTTAGCTATCATTTGTTGGAGTATTTAAATGCATATATAACATTAATCTAAATTTCAATTAGGACTCGACATTTATTTACTTATAATATATATTTTAGTATTTTTAAAATATCTGTACTCTTTATTTAATATAAACTATAGCCGCTGGCAATGGCACAAACCACCAGATACACCTTTACATCATGTTAATTGTTCATGTTCGAAAAGTTTTCATAGTTTGTAAAGACATCTGGTTTTGGTCCAAGCCAAGTATGGGATTGGAGGGGTTTCCCCCCCTCCAACTATATAAAACCTAAGCCCCATCATCGAGCTCCGCTTATAACCTGAGCGGTGTCCGAGTCGGCAGCATCTTCGACTAAGATTTGTGAACGCGGAAGAGATACACCCGAGTATCCATCGCCCAAATACATTGTAAAAGGTGATTAAGCTGCGTCTTCAGTTCGTTCGTTCAGACGTGCAGACGTGTGTGTTCAGTGCCTGCCGCCCTGCTGTGAAGCATAATTGTAAAACAAAACAAAAAAGTGGACAAGCGAAGTGCAATTGCAATTAGGGACTTACATGTGGTCAGAGATCGAATGGGGTTCCCGCAACCTATCTACATATATTCGTGTATTCGATGCCTTTCACCCGATCCCAGCATGCGACGCGAATATACGTATATATATATCTGTGAATATTTACGGCATCGAAAGTGAAATTTTGGTTTGACTGTAATCTAGATTCGGCCACACATCCAAAAGAAACCACAGAGCCCCGCTTGATCAATATGTAAATCATATCCAAATGGGATTATTCAACCTTTAATGATATGTCATCCATCACGAAATTGGCCAATCGCATGTCGAACACAAACTCAAAGCAAACAACGAACATCGAATGCTCTCCAATTAAGAGCGATAGATCATGTGGCAAAAGAGCTGAAGTTACGGAATGTTAATGTCATTCATTAATTACCTGTTTTTTTTTTCGGCGACAGATGGAGCATAAAAGATGTTACGGATTGTTACGGAATCAATCTTCAGCCACTAAGTGAAACTATAAGAATTGTATAATTGTGAAATGATTTTCTAATACTTTTAATAGTTTCTCTGTTCATTTAAATATGGAAATATGCTGGCAGTATATTTTGTGATTTTAACGAGGCTCACTTTATTTATCATTAATTAATACTCGTGGAGAAAAGTGCTTTCAACATCCGCAACAACAAGTTCATTAAATATTCGTCAGGCCTTAACCCACATGGGAACGATCCGTATGGGAATGAACCGTGAATATTCGCGGGTGATGAATGTTGACACCTGGCTATCTATCGCTATCGTGGAGTTTCGATGGCAGAAGAAGGGGAGAGCCACACGCCATTACCTAATACCCCAACACTTTCCATTTTTATTTCCATCTTTGCAGATGTTGAAGTGTCCATCCATGTGGCTGCAGCTGGTCTTGGGCTGGGTCTGCCTGGGTGCCGTGTCATTGCAGTCACTCCAGTCGTTTCCCAAACTCTGCGACGTGCATAACTTTGATGAGTACTTGAGACAAACGGGCAAGAATTACGCGGACGAGGGCGAGCGAGCGTATCGCGAGAGTATCTTTGCGGCCAAGAAGTCCGTCATCGATCTGAGCAACAAGAATGCGGATAGTGGATATTCTGGCTACCGCCTGAGTCTCAATCCGCTGGCCGATATGACAAAGAAGGAGATTGCCACGCTTCTGGGCTCGAAGGTCTCCGAAAGGGGCGAGTAAGTAGAACACATAAGTAATGACGCAATCGACGCAAACCCATAAAAGGGGGGAGTCCATCGCTTGAATAATTAGCACCCATCTCATAAATTTTGAACTGGTTTGCTCTGCCTATTCCATGAAATATGAGTAGCACGAGGAGCAGCATTTATGTTTCCGAGGCACTAGTTCAGAGGTCTGAATGAATGAAATCTGTTTTGGTATTTCCAAAATTATATTTGTCATTGTTTTCGCTTATCAAAAGCCAAACAGTCATACATTTTTGGGTTTTTGCTAAGTGGGGAAAAAGATAATCAGAATATTTGATTTGCACTGGTATTCCCTTTGAATTGAATGTTTATTTGAATACTTTGAATACTTTTCTGGCTGTTACTTATTCAGTTCACTCCAATTGCATTCAGGAAATACACCAACGGCCACATCAACTTCTTGACTGCACCCAATCCGTCCGGGGCCAATCTGCCTGAATCCTTTGATTGGCGCGAAAAGGGTGGCGTAACGCCGCCCGGATTCCAGGGCGTTGGTTGCGGCTCCTGCTGGTCGTTCGCCACAACGGGCGCCCTCGAAGGTCATCTGTTCCGGCGCACAGGTGTGCTGGCCTCGCTGTCCCAGCAGAATCTGGTGGACTGTGCCGATGACTACGGCAACATGGGCTGTGACGGTGGCTTCCAGGAGTACGGCTTCGAGTACATACGCGATCACGGCATCACACTAGCCAACAAATATCCGTACACACAGTTCGAGATGCAGTGCAGGCAGAACGAGACGGCGGGCCAGCCGCCCAGGGAGAGCATCGTGAAGATTCGCGACTATGCCACAATCACCCCAGGCGACGAGCAGAAAATGAAGGAGGTGGTGGCCACACTGGGCCCGTTGGCCTGCTCCATGAACGCAGCTCCCATCTCGTTCGAGCAGTACCACGGCGGCATCTATGCGGATGAGGAGTGCAATCAGGATGAGGTGAATCACTCCGTTGTCGTCGTCGGCTATGGATCCGAGGGCGGGCGCGACTATTGGATCATCAAGAACTCGTACTCGCAGAACTGGGGCGAGGGCGGCTTCATGCGAATCTTGCGCAATGCCGGAGGCTTCTGCGGCATCGCCAGCGAGTGCAGTTATCCCATTCTATAATAGAAACACATAAGTCTGTATATTTAGTTAGTCAATTAAACAATCAATAAATTTACGAACTGAAAATTGTACCCAAACTGGCATTGAAACGTCCCTCCCATATGAGAGATAATCGCTATATCGCTATATTTTGTTGTGTATTGCAGAGTGCACTCTCCAAGGCTACATTCGCTTTAATTTGCATATTCAAAGAGAGAGAGTCTCTTCCAGATTCAGTAAAATTCTGAGGAATCATGACTGTGCTCCGGGCGGCCCCCCGTGCCTCCTCCCGGCCGGCCCCCGCCCCCCCTGGTGGGCTGCGCTGGGCCTCCCCCGCGTGCCCGGCCCCGCCCACAAGGTGCCACTTCTACGGCCTTCCCATTGGGCAAATCCACATGGAAAGGCAGCACAAAGCGCAGGGGAAATGTCGGCTGACTGGAGAATTCTGGTGGTTCTGATAACAGTTCCTGGAAATTTGTTTTGGAATTTTGATGAATTTGTTTTATTTCATTCGTAGGTTGACTTTGAGCCCAACTATCCCACTGAAATTGAGACGGAGAAGCGGCGCAATGTGTTCTGCGACAACTGGCGATCGATCAAGAAGCACAATAAACTTTTCGAACTGGGATTGGAATCCTACGATTTGGGCATTAATCAGTTTAGCGATCTGACGTTTGAGGAATGGCTGATAAAGCAAACGCCGAGGATATTTAGGGATGTTCCATTTTTTTAATAGTTCGCATTAAATGATTGCAAAATGATTTGCGTATAGTTTTTAAAAATATTTATATTTATTTGGGGGGAGGGGGATCCTAGTTAAGAGGATAGGTTTTTTGTTGGAGGATTAACTCTGATACAATATTGTTCACAAGTGTTGGATGGGAGGGGGGGAGAGAGAGGGGGTTTTTAGTTCCTCTGGCGGTTTGTTTGTGTGTTTCTCTTTATATATTTTTGGTTTTTGTATTTTTTGTTTTGTTTTGTTAAATACGAATATGAGTAATACATACGATAATTTTTGTTTTGTTTATTTCTATCATTTGAACGCACACAAATTCTACATGAATAATTTATATATATATACGAGTATATATGTCTGTATGTATATATGTGTGTATAATTATATATGTATAGTATAGTATATGTATGTATACATATTTACTGAGATTTCCTTTTGCTTGTGTTGCATTAACTTTCGCCTTACAAATACAATACATAAATATATATAATATAATACATATACATATGTATGTAGATATAGTAAGTATGTATGTGGTTTTAGTTTAACAAATACTTGTAGTTGTAGTTTATTGCAAGTTGCATTAACTGAACAGCTATGTAATGTAATCAATATGCTTACGTTCTCCGACACATCACATATGTATGTATGCGTCGATATATAATATAGACAAGTTACATTATTTATGTATATGTGGCATGCATTAAGGTTTAGTTACTATACAAATCGTTGGTTAGGGCACAAGCTCTGCATTAAAGCGACTCGCGACTCTAACATTTTTTGCTTTATTCCTCCCGTTATGATGCTTTTCTAGTAACAATTCTACATTGTTTTTTTTTTTAGTTTAGAATTTACATTTGTGTTTGGCGCTAATTTAATAGGTATTTTGCATTTCTAACCAAGCGACGCGACGCGACGTGACATCTCGGCCCCCTGCCCCTGGCCCTGGCCCTGGCCCTAAGACTGACTACTACAATACGAGTATGTACCATAAGTACTTCTCAGATGGCTATTGGATATGTGATTTGAGCAGTTCTTCTCTTCTCTTCCACCTCTTCTTCACGTTTATTGCTGTCTCTCTTTGATGTGGATGCGCGTTGTGTGTCTGTGTATGTGTGTGTGTAAATTTATCTAAAAAAAACCCCAAGCCATCCATTTAGCTGAGGATATACGAGCTGCTGTGGCTGTTGTGGCTGCGGCTGTGGGAAAGGGACCAGGACCTGGGCACAACTAAATAATCGTAATACATATGTACGTTTCGAGTACATGTAAATACTAAATAACGAACAACGTTGAAAGCATATCCGAGTGTTCCTAAAGGGATATATACGACAATAACTGTATATAGCAACAAATTCGCACTACAAAAAACTGCACACTCAACTTAGGGGGCTAGCTTATAAGTTATCATCATTTCAAGTTATCTCTTATTATTCAGATATACATAAATGTATAAATGTATAAATATGCTTTCATATATTCTCCTCTTTCTTGTGGCCAAAGCAAATGTTGCTGTTGATGCTGCTGCTGTTGCTGTTGCTGCTGCTTCTGTTGCTGCTGTAATTTGTAGTATTTACTTTGTATCGTTATTGTTTCTGTTACTGATTTTATATGTTCGTCATCGGTGTATTTGGTAAAAGCCAAACGCTTTGTGTGTTTGCTAGTAGTCGTGTAAAACATTTGCCATCTCGCACTACAAACCAAAAACCGAAGTACATACATAGAAATTGTGTGCACAACGGAGGAGGAGGAGGCAGGAGGCAGGAGAAGGAGCAGTTGTGGAAATTCCTTAATAGGTGGGCTGCTGGTACTCCATGCCAGCCTGTTGCTGTGGCTCCACGCCGCCTGTAAATGGGCCCAAAAAAATAAGTGAATGAAGCGTATTTGGATTATGAATAATCGAATTCAATTGACTCACCCTGCTGTCCCTGGCCGAAGGGCGAGGCGCTGTATTGATCGTTGTCATTGTCCATGGCATAGCCGTATGCCTGCTGGTGCACCACATTAGCGGGGTCTGTCTCGAAGGCGGAGGTGAACTCATCGCCGGCTCCAATCAGGAATCGTTTGTAGGCCATCAGGGCGCACAGAGCCTAAACAATAGAGAGGAATATTACATAATGCCATCGATATACGAATGCACCGATTGCAGGGACCCACCCAAGTGGCAATCGAGAAGAGGCAGAACCAAATGGCCGTCTTCATGCTGCCTTCTCCAATGCCGAGCGGTGGTGGCGGCGACGAGCTCCACTGGGACCACAAATACAAGAACGCCACAAAGTACATGAAGGTCCACAAAGCTGCAGAAGATAATCAAATGAAAATGGCACTGAATTGGGTGGGAATTTCGATAGGATTTATATAGGGATCCCTTACCGGAGAAGCCCAAGTCGGCCATGACATAGCGCTTTCTGCTCTTCACCGACGACATCCGCTCGAACAGGAACTCGCCGCCCATGAAGCCCATGGAGGCCAAAAAACCGAATACGCCCACCATGTTGCCATACTTGCAGGCCAGGCCATCGCCATTGTAGAGGCAGTACTCCTTGCCCTCCTTCTCCGCCCAGCCCTCGGAGGAAATGCAGCCAAAGACCACCACTGAAAAGAGCTGCAGAATGGAAATTCCAAGAGGTTTAACAGATGCATATACCATAGCACTTTATCATCGACAATATATCATATATCTAATATCTATATATGGGTCACTCCCGTCTGCCATCTCCCATCTCCGGCCCACTCTGGCATCGATTTCCATAAGCAGGTGCAACAAACGAAAAGTTCAAGTACACAGTACAAATACAGACATACATTGTAGACGGAGGGGAAGAAGTGCGGACAGACTTATGTTTGTGACCCAATTTGCGCTGAAGGCCAAGTTTAGTTTGTTTGGCCAGGAGCAGGCCTTGGGAAATGGTGCCATTGCGGTGTTGTGTTGGGATGGGTGGGTGGGGGGTTTACTATGTGCAAATATTACGTACACTTAAATGAAGAGCAAACTATCACTGGCCTCGGTTCCCCCCGCTCTAGTTCTGTTTGCTCGACACGTATGTCCATCAAGTCAGGGTTATTAAAAAGTTATGCCTTGGGGGACCGTTTGTGGCATTTAATTATAAACTTTTTATGTGCGTGAGAGCTTTTATGACCATCCTGCAGCTGATCCAATAAGCCTCCCTCCCCCTCAATGTGTCAGCCAGTACGCCACTGACAGTACCTCACACATAAACAAATCGGACCATCCACACGGACGGTGTGGAATGCGTGTGTGTGTGTGGGAGGTGGGGATACTCGCAATCCTAGCAATTCCCAGCACCACTTGAAACTTACCCAGCAGAGCGCCCTGATGACAACTTGGGGCTTCATGGCGAACGTGAGTGGATCGAAGGCTCCGCCCGCCTTGCCGCCCCCATAGGCGCCGCCATTATTAATGCTGAGTATCTGGTTGAGCATGTCCATGCTTGCGGCCTTTGGTATTCCCTATTTCCCACTGATGATGATGATTATGATGATGTTGGTGACGGCTCTTCAGTGGCTCTCTGGTTGGCTTTTCACGGCCTGTTGTGAAAAATCGAATGCAGCCAAGGGCAAAGCGCGGGCGTCTCAGCCGTTTGTATGTATACACGGAACGCGGAGATGTCTGTGTGTGTCGTATATCTCTCGCTATAATGGATTACAACACATCCGATGCGGACCACATAAAGATTGAGAGATACTTGAAAAATGTCCTTTGCCTTCCCACGCACACTCTTTTCTTTTTTGTAAATCTCTTCACACACACACAGCCTGTCCTTTGGGGGCGCGCACAAAATTATCGCTTTATTTGCATTTTCTTACTGCATAATTAATGAACAAATTTCAAGGGCCAGATTTTCACTTTTACTTTTTTGCCTAGCTTGTCTTTTCTCTCAACGGTATGTCAACGCGCAGGACAGGACCGTTTGTGCCTCCAATTGGGAATATACCGGTTCAAATATACCGAAATACTGAAATTAACATTTCACTACAGCAGCAATGTCTGTTAAATTTAACATTTAACATAGTTTGCTGTTAAGTGTGCGTAGAGACAGTGTTGTTAAGTGCCTGACACAGTCCGTCGATATAACGGAAAAAACAAATTGATTTTGGTTTAAAATTCGCGGCTGCAACTTTTATTCATAATCAAAATCTATTCAACCTACTCAGAGAATTTTTAATCAAACTGCATTGATTTGTTTATTTACCGTAAATTTGTTGTAGTTAGGAAAGTTCTTTTTGAAATGGATCGCTTTAGAAAGGTGCCAAAATGCTGTACTAACTCATTGCGGCCATGTCTTACGCACAAATCCAAGTGGAAGCGAAAGTCAAACGCGATCACAGACGTCAACCCACAGGAATTGTCCGTTCCCATGTTGCTGGACAGAGAATGCCTGCGCCAAGTGATTGCCACCTACATGGACAAGCTGTCGAAAAATCATCCACAGGCAACAATGGGCTGTGGCACACCTTCCCCATGCTTTCAGAAGGTGTTTTCTATGCTTTGGTATTTGGACAGCTTCTTTGACGATATAAAGCACTGCTTTGTCGAGGCCGGAGCACAGATGGGTCCAGATGCAGAGGCGTACGCAGCTTGCTGCAAGAGCAGAAAAAAGATTGCAATCAAAGAGCATAAAGAGCCCTCGATAGGCCAAAAGCGCGAACGCCGGCCATTCCATGCTGAAGCAGAGGCAGACGAAAAGGAGCTGATAGAACAGCAGGACAGTGGGCAGAGAGATACGAGAAACCCTGCTAAACACAAGTGGCGCCTCGACCACGAGCAAAGGCTGAATGATAAGGCAAAGGAAAGGGAGCTGAGAGATCAGGAGGACAAGGGGCACAGAGATACTAGAAACCGCGACCGTCGTCCATTCCATGCTGAAGCAGAGGCAGACGAAAAGGAGCTGATAGAACAGCAGGACAGTGGGCAGAGAGATACGAGAAACCCTGCTAAACACAAGTGGCGCCTCGACCACGAGCAAAGGCTGAATGATAAGGCAAAGGAAAGGGAGCTGAGAGATCAGGAGGACAAGGGGCACAGAGATACTAGAAACCGCGACCGTCGTCCATTCCCTGCTAAGCCAAAGTGGCGCCTCGAGTACGAGCAAAGGCTAAAAGATGAGGCCGAGGAAGAGGCAAAGGAAAAGGAGCTGAGAGATCAGGAGGACAGTGGGCAGAGAGATACGAGAAAAGACAAAGCACAGTCTGAACTTCGACGAAGACAGCAATTGAAGCGAGCATCAAGAGCCGCGAAAGGAATCCATGATTCTGGCCCTTATCATGATCCAACTCCCGAGAAGCCGCCAATGCAAGAGGAGCCGGAAGTGAACCAAGAGGAAAAGCAATCACATGAAAAGACCTTGATGAAATCCTTTCCCCGAAACAAATCGACTGCCTCGATACATACGCCCTTTGGACACTACATGGAGGATACAGTCAAAGAGGATTCGCATCGACCCACTGATCTCTTCGATAAGATGCTTAAAAGTGCAGCTGCCGTGGTGCCAGAGCACCATCCCAGCCTCAAGAGCACCCACACGTTGATCACCTCCAAGGATGTGGCAAAACTCAAGGGGCATCGAAAACCAGATTTGTCACAGAAGAGACACAAAGCCTACGAAACTCCACAGAGTGAAGACACAAAGATGCCGCACCAGAGGACGTCGTACACAAAACCATTACGGGAAATGCTGCAGGGCCAGGCCGTTACCGAGAGGACTCCTTTGCTAAGCAGTTCGCACCGGATGCTGTTGGGGAAGAAAGAGGATTCCAAGAGGAAGCCTACGACTGGCAGTCAGCGTCAGAAAAGATCTAGAGATAGGTCTAAAAATGAACAGGACTCCAAGAGGAAGCGAATTACTGGCAGTCAGCGTCTAGCAGGACTCAAGAAAGGCGCTACAGGTAGCTCCAAAAATAAACAGGACCTAAACAAAATATCTGAAGATAGTGCCAGGCATGAAGAGGACTCCCAGGGGAAGGGTACAACTGGCAGTCGGGGTCAGGAAGGACCAGACTCCAATATAAGATCTAAGGATAGCACCAAGAATGAACTGGGAACACGTGAGGGAAGGGACAGTTTTGATAGCTTTGCCAGCGTCAATCTGGAGACCTTCCTCAAGGAAAGAGAGAAATCCCAAGCCGAACTGACGAGGTCCCTCAATAACCGAGGGAAGAAAGTCAACATAATAGCGCCAAAATTTTCGAAAACCTTTGGGAAAATGCTAACTGGAAAATCAGCTGCCATACCAGAGCTCCACCCGGCCCTGAAGAGCTTCCACAAAATACCCACAGCCGTTGATCAAGAGCCGCCAGCACACAAGCGAGCACATGGCTCGAAGCGTGGAAAGGTCATTTCAGGAATACCCGCACACTTGCTCTCCGAAAAGAGAAACGTCTTCAAAGGTCAACGACGACCCATGGAGGCAAGTTCGAATGTGCCCAGCAGATATGTACGCTCCTCAATCGGCTCAATCGCCTCGATACTAAAAGCGCCAACGGAATTTGAGGAGGAACCCCTTGAAATCAAAGCGGAGTCCGACAACAAGACCTTGTATAAAACCAACAGACAGAAATTCAAATCTTCGGGGAATATCGCACGTCTGGGTAAGCATAGGTTAGCTGACTACCAGCCGGATGAATTCGTGCCCTACAGCTCCCAAATTGAACATGGTACAAGCTCGGATATCTTTCGTCATTTATTGCTTGGTGAAGGGGCACCCCTTCCGAAAGAGAAAATTGCTTATAAAAACCAACAAATGAAAAAGTTTACGTTTTACATCAAGGGCTCGAGACCGGATCGAAAAATAATGAGGAGAGAGGGCTCGAAGCACTCCATTGGCTACCTGTCGCCCACGAGAAGCCTCCTTAGCCGTGCCAGTTGGCTGAGCAAGAAGAGCATACACAGTAGGAACTCAAAAGGATCAGTGATCAGCATAATGGATATGGCCAAGGCCGAACTGCCCGATCAGATAGATACAATTAAAGAAGATACGTTCGATGAGTTCGAATTTATGTTCCGAAACATGCCAGACCCATTCCTTACCGACAACGACCAAAAGTCCGACGCTACCTCACCCTCGGCAATACTCTCAGGTCCCACATCCAGGCGACACAGTAAAACTGTGCACCGCACAGAAAACACCAAAGAGGAGCGCGCCGCACTGGAGGCGAAAATCAAGATGCTCATGGAGCACTGCGCCATACGGGAGATCTCTCAACCGAAGGTGAAGCGTAACTTTGTGGCCGAGGCCATTGACCGTACCTATGTGCCGCCGCCAAACAAGAAACCCGATCCCATCAAGCCCAAGCCGAGGCCAAGGGATAAGTACCCCACCACTGTGGAGCTACTCAAAGTTCCCCCTACCCCCAACTGGCCAACGTTCGCTGAGAGGCACCGCCAAAAATACCAGGCCGAAATGTCCACAGAGTGGGAATATCCACTGTTGGAGCCTGTACAGCCTGTGAAGATACGTCGCTATTCAGATCGCCCCTCCGATTTCTTGTGTATAGCTAAGCTGCTGGAGCACAAGAAGACTCTCGAAGACCCTCATCCACCTGCAAAGGTGGCTGAGCATGGAGCTGCTGGGGATGGCCAAGCCGTGGATGAAGATCATTACGATTGCAACATCTGCAATCGCCTTGGAAAGTGTACGTATATATTTATATTAATTTTTTTATTTCGGATTCTGCATTCTTATATCGTTTAGATAAACTCGAGCCGGACTCTCCACTGATCAAGAAGTTAAAAGCTCAATCGCGACGTTTCGAACTCCGTGCTTACTACCGCCAAATGAGGCAACGGGAGCTGCAGAAAGGCCTCCGAGTAACTCCTGTAGCTTCCTGTCCAGGCTGTCCTCTGTTTACAGATAGTCTTAGTCATTTGTTAGCAGAGAAAGTGAGCTGCTCCTGAAGGCGATGGAGCGATGGAACAAAAGAAGCATCTCGTGTTCACATGAAACGGTTTGAAAGTGCATCGTTCGCGTGGCAACACCGGCGAATGTAGCGCCTCAGCTTTGGACATATAAATTATATGTTTGAATGGCCAAAGGCAGCCCGGAACTCTGGCTGCCAGGTGGGAGTATATCATCTAGTACCTCACCTGGCAGCCAGATGGCCAGACTGCCTCCGCCATCCATCGAATGTGCACTTCATTTTTACAAATACAAGTTTAAACGTTTTTATTTGCGTACTAATAACACAAGGGATATAAATGCAATGCTGGCTGGGAAGACTTCAAAGACAGTTGAGTTTATTCGTTAGTGAAGTTGGCTGGGCGCTTCTCTGCAAACGCAGTCATGCCCTCCTTGCGATCGGCCTGCGAGTGAAAATAGAAACGATTAGATTACGCAATAGATACGAGTGGTATAAGAGATGTGATGTGATGTCCCCTTACCGTGGAAAACGTGGCGTGGAACGTGCGACGCTCGAATTTCAGACCCTCCTGGAGAGTTGTCTCGTAGGCCGTGTTCACCGACTCCTTGCACAGCTGGACAATCAGGCTCGAGTGTGTGCCAATTTTCTCGGCCAGTTTGATGGCCTCGGCGAGCAGCTGATCGGCTGGAACGACCTTGCTGGCCAGACCGAGCTTCTCGGCCTCCTGGGCACTGATCATGTTGCCAGTGAGGCACATCTCCATCGCCTTGGACTTGCCCACAACGCGAGTGAGTCGCTGGGTGCCGCCAGCTCCGGGAATGGTGCCCAGAGCGATCTCAGGCTGGCCAAACTTGGCCTTGTCACCGGCATAGATTATGTCACACATCATGGCTAGCTCACAGCCACCACCGAGGGCGTAGCCATTCACAGCAGCAATGATGGGCTTCTGGGTGCGGGCCACCTCAACCCAGTCATTGAGGAAGTTTCCTTGAATGCACTGCGAGTAGGTGTTGCCCACCATCTCCTTGATGTCGGCGCCGGCGGCGAAGGCTTTCTCACTGCCAGTCAGCACAATGGCGGCGATGTTCTTGTCCTTGGTAAACTCCTGCAGGGCGGTGGAGATTTCCTTCATGAGTCCGTTGCAGAGGGCATTCAGAGCCTTGGGACGGTTCAATGTGATCACGGCCACATTTTTCTTCTCACCCGTCACATCGGTCTTAATGAACTCCCAGTTGTTGGCCGCTGCGGAGCGAAAGAGATGGCCTTATGAGGTGATCTGATTACGCAACAAAGAATGTTTGAGACCGGCAATGGGAAAAAACCCGATAATTTGCCATTGCCGGAAAAAGTGGAATGGAACTGGAATGATCCCTAGTTGATGTCTGTTCGTTGCAGTCGTGGACTTTGATCCCATGCACTTGATACTTACTGGAAGCGCTGCGGGTGAATCTGGTGGCCACCTGTGGCTGTCTGGCGGCTGCCTGGAGCACGTTGTGTGCGCGAGAAGCGAAGATTTTAGCAATGTTGGCCATGTTGAGGGAAACTGTCGCCGGCTGCAAAAGCAATTCGTTATCTAATGATGCCGGAATCAAGTTTGGACCTATGATGATGCTTACAATTGAGGCACTGGAACAATAATGTGGAGCTGGGGGCGCGGCGCGAGATAAACATGATTCTTGAGGCAAAATAACGTCGTCTTGCAGCACTAAAGCTGCACTCGCTTTGCAACACTAAACGGTTGCTCTTTAAATTTGTTTTAATACTTTAGTTTTAATGGTAGTTTAAATTACAATAACGAGCTACTCTTAGACCTTGGCTATGTCCGACGGCTTTGGAGGATTGTTTGTGTTTTCTACCAGCCAAATTAGCTCTTCGCGCGGCCTATGGCGGTCGTCCCTGCGCACTTTGTAGATGAGCACCAGCAGGACGACTATCAAGAAGGAGAACATTGCTATGACCAGGCTAAAAACGGGAGATGTGGGAGCTGCAAGTAAGCGATTATAATAATATTAATAAGTATTAGCTTCTGTTCCACCTTCCACTTACTTTCACAGTATGGAAACTGATGCAGCCACATGGGTGCACTGCAGATATTCTCGTGCTCTCCTTTGAGCGAATGATCTGCTGGGCAGTCATAGTGAATCCTTGTGTCGTTGGGTACTTTCGTGCCTGCACGAAGGACAGCATTGCTAGAATGCTTTATTATTAGATTCGCTATCTGGGGCACTACGCACTCGTCGTCTTCCTGGCGTGGAGCAGTCAGGTTTCGCATTGACGTTGTCGATCCCATCAATACGATGTAGTTGTCTGTAGTGGTAGATGAGTTGATGGTTGAGCTGGCCTTAGTCGCGCCTTCGCATAAGGTGTCTAGCTCATCATCCCCATCCAGACAATCCTTTTTGCCATCACAAAGCCCCGAATAAGGTACGCATTGTCCGGATTGGCAGTACATCTCCCAGTTGTCGCAGTTGGCCTGCTGCATCTGTGCCCGGCACAGCCATCCTTCCTCATCGGATCCATCCACACAGTCATGCTGGCCATCGCACACGGCCGTGCTGGCAACACAAGCGCCATAACTGCAGCGGAAACTGTAGCCCGGACACCAGACCTGGCCGCACATCTCAACAGTCTCATCGGAGGCATCCAAACACTGAGCCCTGCCATCGCACAGCTGATCCAGTTGAATGCAATCGCCGCTACCACAGCGATGCTTGCAATTTGTGGTGTTGTTGTACGCTACAGAGATGGCAACGCAGAGGAGAAGCAGCAGCAAAATAAATGGATTACGATGCGCGGTGTTCATTCTAGCTGGCTTTCAATATTGAGACTGCCGATTTCATCTGATATTCAAGGCTATTATGGCGGAATCCCCAAGCATGCTAAATACAAAAAAAACCCGTTTGATGATGATATGACGATCTCATGGCATGGGCTTTTCTAAGCGGCTTTATCGATTACCTTCAGTGTATTTACAGCGCCTTTCATAATCGTAGCTTGTTCGTTTATTATCAGTTGGACGCCCCTTGGGTAAGCTCAATCTGAACTGTTCCAACTCTGACGTTTGCAAATGCATACGAAATTCTGTAATAAACGGGTTTGTTTCGACTAGAACTCGGGCTGTGCCCACAACCGAGAGCGATTGCTTTGATTCCGGGGAGTTCGATGCCTTTTTGGATGCGTAATCATACTTTATTTCTCATTGCGAGCAAGTATATACTTATGTTAGTGTTAATAAAGTCTTCTATTTTATAATTGAAATGGGTAATTATAAAGAAAAACTTCTCTAGACAATGTTAGTTAAATGCACATACGAATAACCATATTACTATAGCTCTTTGTGTGTATGGCTGCTGGCCGGAAACAAAAACTGAAATACTTGTAGTAAACTTAAGTAACGTGTCAGGGGGTTTGCTTTCGCCGAGGAAAGGTACCCAAGTTCATTTCTTGTGGGCAGATGCAGGCGGCGTACCGTAGAACTTGCGTTTCTTGATGGTGCCCTTGAAAGGAGTTGCTGCAAAAATACAAATACATTTTAATAATTGCATTGCGTTAAAGTCGTCTATCTACTCACCATATATTGATAGCAAGTCCTTGTTGCTGCTGGGCACTCGCTTGACGGTGGCTGGCGCATTCGAGTCTATCACAATATATTGCTCCCAAAATGTGACTGGCAGCTCGAGCAATGCTTTCATCACCTGCTTCTGCGTAAAGACCTCTGTGTAGATGGCATGCTGATCGGGATCTGGCGATGAGTACCCCACAATGGTGGGTCCAAAGATAAGCGAGATATTATCGATCGGCATCAGCACCACAGGGCATTGAGCAATGCGCTGGAAATGTAGTATTAGGAAGGCCAGCGTATCCCGATTGGCCTGGGGCATCTGCTTTACAGACTTGTACAGCATCTCCTGAGACATGGAAGTGTCTGGATTTTGAACAGCGTTGGCAAAATCTTTCCACTGGCCGGTGGGTATGAGAGGCTCCACGAGAGACCTCAGGAAATCCTTCACACAGCAGCATAGCACATAGATATCCGTGTTGCCCAAATGTGGGGTGGCCTTGCCTCGCAAGAATTGCTCCTTCAGGGCTTTGTACTCCCGCTCCGATGAGGACACGCGATAAAGCCCCACTTCGGTGAGGCCGCGCGCCTCAATCTCATTCACACAATGGACAACCAGTGCTGGAATCATGGGCGCAATGGACGGTGCAAAATCACTGAGGTAGCCCGTCATTGTTTTGGTCGTGGGTGTTCCCGATTGGGGCACACAGCTAACTGTGAGCAGATACCGGCAGTCAATGTGACAGCGCACAGGGCAATCCCGACAACGCAAGCCAACAGCGCCGAACCGAATGCTGCAAACAAAAAAGTTGAGTATATAAACTTATAGGGGAAAAATGGTTCTATTTATCCTACCGCTTCTGGCACTGCACACAATTGTCACCGCGCAAAAAGGTCTTCTGGCTGAAGGTGTGATTCCTCATCATTGGACGATGTGTCTGACTTGGTGTACCCAATTCGGCTAGCACATGTGGTGCCATGGCATTCAGCGGAGTTAGGGGTGGAGCTGTGGCCTCTTTAAAGGCAGAGCGTCGAGGCGTCGATACCAAGCCATCAGCAATCCTTCCAGGGCCACCATTTACTGGCACCGACTCAATGGTTGACTCTGCACGGATTACTCCCTGCCCATCCTGGGGTATGGTGACCTTGGTGGTAGCACAAAAGCGCTCAGCGCCCTGACCCACATTCACTGTATGCTGTTCCACGCCTATGCCAGCACCCGAGCGCCGCATCTTAGTCGTAGTTGGCGTGTGTGTCGACATGCTGCCATTCAATCCGGTACTTATCCGCGATCTCTTGTTGCCCACACTGGGGATCGGATTCTTGGGTAACGAGGGTCGATGCTCGCGCCAGGACTTGGACCGGCGCACGTCTAGAAAGTCGTCTTCCGAATGTGTGATCGACATATCGGACAGCATCGAGCCTGTGGAGTTGATGTCTCCATAAGATTTGTCCTCCCTGACAGCGTTCAGAGACTTGCGCTTCCGGGATGACGGCAATGTGTGAATAAAGGCCAGCTTATCGCGTGTCTCGTTGTTCAGATTGCGCTCGTGCCGCAACAGATCGGCCACAGCCACTATCTTGCTTTCCATGGTATCCCTCTCATGCTCGGCCTGGCGGCGAGCCTTGATCTCCATATCGATGATGCGGCGGGCGTGAAACAGCTTGCCCTCCAGATCGCCCATCTTGGTAAGGGATTTATCCAGCTCATTTTGTATCCTCGCGGTTTCCGCCGCATACCCTGCGCACTTTTCATGGTACTGCTCGAACATCCGCAGGAACCGTAGAAACTCTGCAATATTAACCTATGGCTAGTGTTCGTTCCACACACACACAGATTCGAGTAAATAACTCACCCTCCTCAGCAGTGCCGTCGGTCAGCACTTGCATGCAACGCCGCAGATCATCAAACGACGCCAAGGTCGATAGCGTCATTTTCGCAGTGATCCTTTTAACGTAGACAGATATATCCGTACAGGTGCTACTCACGCGCTGATTTAGCCTGTTTAAATACAAATTTGTATTCGAATTTGTGAGTTTTTTCACAATAAGTGCCAGGCACGCTGCAAGGGACGCTATAATTTTTCTTCCAAGTGCCGTTGTTTTCAATTTGATGCAGCTGCTATCGATAACACGCGGTCTCAGGGTTGCATGCCGCTCATTGGTCATAATTTTGTGTAAACGCAGCGGCTTACAACACTAGTACTTGCGGGAAAACATTTGTCTTGGATTCGATTCGATTCGTATATTTTGATTTTAAGCCGCACGAACATGTCGGTTCCTTCTCCCAATCCCGCTCTCGGCTTGCACAGCAAGCGGTGGAATGGTCTGCGCCACGTACTGGAGCGCGAGGGCCCATTCTGCAAGGACGACTTCACAGCCTCTCCTGACAACTTGGATTTCTTGCAAACGAAATCCAAAGTTCTCATCATCGGCGCTGGCGGTCTGGGCTGTGAGCTGTTGAAGGACCTGGCACTGATGGGCTTCGGTAATTTGCATGTGATTGACATGGACACCATTGAACTGTCTAATCTGAACAGACAGTTTCTATTCCGACGCACGGATATTGGATCCTCAAAGGCGGAATGCGCAGCGCGTTTCATCAATGGAAGAGTTCCAACATGCCGGGTCACGCCGCATTTCAAGAAAATTCAGGACTTTGACGAGTCCTTCTACCAGCAGTTTCACCTGATAGTTTGTGGACTGGACTCGATTGTGGCCAGGAGATGGATCAATGGCATGTTGCTATCGATGCTGAGCTACGAGGATGATGGCACCCTAGATGTCACCTCCATTGTGCCAATGATTGATGGCGGCACGGAGGGCTTCAAGGGGAATGCTCGTGTTATACTGCCAGGCTTCACAGCGTGCATCGAGTGCACGCTCGACCTGTTTCCACCTCAGGTGAATTATCCGCTGTGCACCATTGCAAATACGCCCCGATTGCCGGAACATTGCGTGGAGTACGTGAAGCTGATACAGTGGGATAAGGAGAGTCCCTTTGGTGTCCCCCTGGACGGAGATGATCCCCAGCACATTGGCTGGATCTACGAAAGAGCGCTGGAGAGGGCCAACGAATTCAACATAACTGGCATCACCTATCGCCTCGTCCAAGGCGTAATCAAGCACATAATTCCGGCAGTGGCCAGCACCAATGCGGTCATTGCTGCTGCCTGTGCTCTGGAGGTCTTCAAATTGGCCACCAGCTGCTACGACAGCATGTCCAACTATCTGAATTTCAACGATCTGGATGGCATTTACACCTACACCTATGAGGCGGAAAAGTCTGAGAGCTGCCTGGCCTGTAGCAACAAGCCACAACTGCTGCCCATCGAGGATGCCAATACCACCACCCTGGAGGATGTAATCAAGTTACTGTGCGACTCGCCTCGTTTCCAGCTCAAGAGCCCCGCTCTGACCACAGTGATGAAGGACGGCAAGCAGCGGACTCTGTACATGTCCACAGTAAAGAGCATTGAGGAGGCAACCAGGAAGAATCTAACACAATCCCTGGGCGAACTGGGACTGCAGGATGGACAGCAGCTGACGGTCACCGATCCCACCTCTCCCACGGCCATGACCCTGCAGCTCAAATATCAAGCAAACGAGGTGGAGATGAACTGAATCATATTCAATCACAAGAGACAACAAATTTTCTCCACATATATACGGTCATGTGTAGTATACAATAAAGCGAAAGGCTAAGCCTCAGTAAATCTAATTAATTGCTCATGTCTAGGATGAACTTCTTGCCGGTGAATCCCTTGAAGTTGAGAGCTGCTGCTGCGGCGTCCTTGAACTTATCCAGGGGCACCATCTCATGGGTGGGAGCCACGAATTTCCCCTGCTCCATTAGCTCGAATATTTCCTTGAACATTTGTTTGCGTTCGGGTGCATTGTAGTTCTCCTTGGACCAGCGCGTCATCCAGAAGCCTCTAAATGCAATATCTTTGAAAATGAGTGGCCCAGTAGCCACCGTAACTGGCTCCCGGGACATGCCACCGTAGGTAACCATAACGCCGCTGTCATTCAGATGGCGCGACACTTCCGTGGCGCTTTTGCCGCCCACACAATTAAAAGCCAGCTTGGGGCGCTTCACTTTCCCTGTTTTGAAGATGTCGCTGGTGCGAACCTCTGCCTCTGTTAGCACCGCCGTGGCACCCAGGCACTCCAACTGTTGCTTCAGCTCACATATCTCCGGGCGGTCGCGGACAATGCCAATGCTATTGATGCCCCAGGCACGGCACAATTGGTGGACAGCCTGTCCCACAGCGCTGTTGGCTCCGTTCTGTATGACCGTGTCGCCCGGCGACAGTTTTACAAAGTCCTTTAGCATGCGATAGGCAGTGCACGGATTGACAGTGACGGTGGCCGCCTCTGCCAAGCCGACTTTTTTGGGCACGGTCATAAGCTGATCCTGATTGTAAATGCCATGCGTTGTCCAGGTCCCCAGACCGGTGGCCAGCAGGATAACGTGTTCCCCCGCCTGCAGGCCCTTGACATTCTCACCGACACAGATGACCTCGCCTACGCACTCATTGCCGGCCACGGCTGGAAATTTTGGCTTGACGGGATATTTGCCTATCGATTAGAGTAATTGAGTTATAATCTGCACAATAACGTATGATTTTGGCTCACCTTGAATGGTATTAATGTCCGCGGGATTGATGGGAGCCGCCAAAATCCTCACCAGCACTTGCTTATCCTTGGGATCGGCCAGCTTGTCCTCGACAAGCTGCAGGACATCTTGGGGCTCTCCGTGTTGGGTATATTTCAAGGACTTGGCCACCACGGACATTTGCCGACACCAATGGGTGGCGGGCGCATGACGAAGCGTTTGACGCAACATATTTATAAAAAATATGAATTTTTGCCTTAGAAGTCAGTGCAGTGTTGTGTAATGCTTGCTGGGAACATACGATACGATGCAGCGCCTATTGCACACTAGAATTCGGTTTTGGCGCTTAAATGTTACTTTTAAATCAAATTTCCCCCACTTGTGGGGCACACTAGGACTGCATGGGGGTGTCCCGCAACTTCCGGCATCTACTTCCTGCTGCCCTTCACTGCAGGTGCTTGATTCTCAAATAGGAAGCCACAACCAACACCACAAAGTTTGACTGCCATCACATTTACATTGAAGTAGATCCCATGGAACGTGCCCGTGCCATATATTGCGCTCTCCCCATACATTCCATACACTCCCCCTACTAATGGACACAAACGCGAAATCGTTTTAACTTTTTAACCTGCTGCCATAATTTCCATAATAATTGCTTTGCGTTTGCCATTGAAATGTACTAATTCTAATCAATAACTCTCCGTGCAGTGGAGCGAGCCACCCAACCCCCTCCCACTAGCCAGGTGGAAGCCACCATACCCACACTGTGGTCATAATTATACACGTCGACTGTTGTCGGCGCTGTCGTTGTTTTTGTTTGCAGTAAAAGACGTTGCCGGGGGCTCTCATAAAGCCGTCAAACATAGCAGGACACGGGGACCTCTCTGCACGGAAACGAAAAATCCAATAAACTAAATGTATGTGTGAATACTTTTTGAGGCTTGCGTGCCGTCGTCGCCGTCGTCTTGGCTAACTTTAGTTTACATTCGACCCTCGTGCATGGAAGTAGCCGCCTTTAAACAATGTCCAATTTCAGTACGAAGCAGCAACTGAATCCCCGTGCCAATGTCTTCATTTTGGTCAACCTGGGCTGCGAGATGCTCTATGTGATTGATCAGCGGCTGAAGGCGCAACAAATCGCCAAGGACAAGTCGGTACAAGGTGAGCTAGTTATTTAATATACTTTTGATCCCAAGTCTAGTGTCCGCTTCTGGCAGTTATTCACGATGTGACTGCAGTGCTGCTGGATCCCAAGTTCATCGACTCCCTGCTGAACGGCTCCAAACACAATAATGCACAGCTGCTGACCGCCGAGCACTGCAAATTCATGCTGAACGATATAGCCACCTGTTCCGTGATGCGCATCGACGAGCAGTCCATGGGCAAGCTGTGGAATCTGATGACCATGCTGTACAAGTGGCAGCTATTTGTGTCCCGGCACCAGCACCACTTGCTCGAGATAACCTTCCGGCACCTGGACGCCATTAATCAGCTGTATCCGGATGCCAAGCGCCACATGCTGATTGACTTTACCAAGAACACTCTGCTGGACTTTTGGAACGCCAGCGGGGAGGAGGCGCAGCTGTCCATTTACAATACCAACAAGTCCTGGTTGGAGTGCTTCAATACGAAAATATCGCTGCTGATTCGGCTAGGTTTCCAGGGCATGGACGGCGGCTTTTTCAAGGACGTGGATCAGGATTACTTCGGCGACTATGTCCAGACCATTGGTGACAACATGTACGTGAAGAGTGAGGAGCCACATCCGCAGAGGGAGCGGGAGCCCAACCGAATGGACCAACTGGCTGCCCAGCTGAACATCAATCCACTGCCTGCAGGCGAGGATTTGCAGCCCATAAACGCCCGCCAATTCCAGGAGCAATTTGACCAGACATTTGGCAATGTTCTGTTCGATGAGGGACATTCAGCAGCCACAGGTTGCGAGTTTGTACAGCTGCAGCCGGCTGGGGCAAAAACGGAAGCCCACAGCCGGGCTGGTGGCGACTCCATACTCAATCAGAATCTCATCGACTTGTACAGCAAGATGGCTTAAAAATTACTTCAACGGGGAGGTTATTTACAATTAAAAAATATTGTATTTCTCATTTAATGGGTGTTTTGTTTTGTAAATTAATTATAAAAACTTGTTGCGGCTGTTGTATGGATTCTGTTTGTATCTCTTTTAGCTTGCTTTGAGTGAATCTTTTCGTCAAAGATAAATATAAATCAACAATTGAAATTTTGAGCTTGCGACAACTGTGACTGTGACTGCGATTGTGGTGTATGTTGTGTTGTGTGGTTGTTTGTTGTGGTGCAAAAGTTAAATAGAACCAAGGATATTTCGGTCGAAATGTACAATTACAAATTACAATAAAAGTTAAGTGTGCTCCTGGTTGCTGCTCGAGTCTAGACTCTAGAGTCTAGACTTATGGCAACAAAATGTATCGTAATTAATTACTTGTTTGCTTTTGTTTTTAATACGCTTCTTTCAATCAGCTCCGAAAGAGTTCGTCCGTTTGTGGTGTGGGGGGGATGCGGATGCACGATGCAGGATGCAGAATATAGGATACAGGATACGGGATGCAGGTTAAAGGTGGAAGAGGGAGTTATGTTAGAATGAAGTCAGATTACATTTTCGCCTTGAGCGGTACTGCATCCACCATGATATGCAGCGCCATTTTGAGGCACTCTTCGGCCGAGCTGATCTGCTCGCAGGGATAGGCGGCGCCGTATTGCGTAAGGAATTCACAGTACTTTGTGTAATTGCTCGTCGCAAAGTCATAGTTGTAGGCACCCAGCGACTTCATGTCCGTGTCGTCGGTGACCGAAGGAACTGTCGCCTTGTGCGGCATTCGACCAAAGGTCGGATAGTCCAGTTCGCAGCCCTCGCACTTGCAATCGAATCTATACTGCATGGAGAGGGTGTCCAGCCGTTGCTGCTTGCTGAAGACGGCAAAGTGGGCGCTGCAGGGGGGAAGGCGGAGGGTTGGTTCAGTCTTGCCAATGAGGGAATAACGATTAATCACTCACCCATAGTTGTCGTAGAGAACGTTCCCCGCCGTGATAGGCCTGAGCACGAACAGGTATGCCTTGGTGCCTTCGTAAATTCGGAGGGTGTTGGGCGCACAAGAGTGATTCAGCAGCGAAAGGAAAGCGTAGGCGCCCGATGAGTGCGTTTGATCGTCCTTGGTCTCGTTCACCTGTTCCACAAGATCGATGCCATGCATATTCGACGGTGATGTCTGCAGATGCCTGAAGAGCAGGTCCGTAAAGAAGTTTCTCCCATCCTCGCCGCCCAGAAAGTCCTTCAGCGGCGTATACTCGATGATGAAGTGCTTCAGCACAGCACAGACAACCGAGCGCTGGAAGAGATCAGAGACGGATCGCAGATGCTGGTTGGTGACCAGTCCGTGGATAGCCCGGTAATGCTCCTGGGCAGACAGTTGGCTGTAATCCAAGTCGAAGGCGCACTTGTGCTGGTTCTGCGGCTGCTCACAGAAGGCCATCAGCTCTTCGATGCTGGGATACAGGTCCAAGGCAGCCATGGTGGTCCGCAGGGCGATGCCGTGGATCTTGTTGAACATGCGGTGCAAGAAATCAATGATTGGACACTCGAAGCGATGAAAACTTGATGTGGCCCGTAGCTTGCACTCCTCGGAGCAGAACATGACGGAGCAACAACTATCGCAGGGAATGAGGGTCAGGTAGTTCTCCCGCTTGCAGGTGGCACACCGAATATACCGCATCGGAGGCAGCAGAGTCGAGCAGAACGGCTGCTCGACAGCAACCAGATCGCCAACCACCAGATCCCGATTGGTCACAACGAACCGGCCTTCGTCGGGCGATTCCCTCAGCTCCAGGCAGTCGGCAATGTAGGGCACCTGGGCATGGGAATCGAAGCTTAACTTGAACTCGTGAGGAACCACATCTGGGGGTTGCTGCTCTAAAAGCTGCTGGCAGTCACGTTCTCGCTTGTCCAACTTGTGGCTTAGTCTCGCCGGGTAATTTGCCTTGCGGGCCAGCTCAATATTGGCCAGACAGTCCCTATAGCGCTTCCATTCGAAGAGAACAGCCGACCGATTGGCATAGCCAATGGACAGATGCTCTGAGTTGGGTTCAGCGTAGCAAATGCTTTTGTTGTACAGTTCCAAGGCCTGAAATGCAAGGGGGCATGGGGTTAGTTTACCTCGAATTGGGATGAGGATTGACTCACCTGAAAGTATTTCCTGTTCTTTAGGGAGAACTGCTCGTTTCCGAGCATGCGGAATTCGACACTCCTCTTGTTGCACTTGTCCTCTCGCAGGGTCACGTTCAGGAAGATCTTCTCCATGTACTTGAAGTCGATCAGAGCGTGCTCGACAAAGTTCACCTTGGAGTAGTTCTCCTTCAGCTCGTTGAACTTTCCCGAAATAATGCCAATTAGCTTCCAGTCGCTGAGCTTCTTCACCAGGTCGTCGCTCACGTCATACACGTCCATTGCTCTTTAATATCTTTATCCCCAGACGTTATGCACATATACCAGCTCCCGGCTCCTTCCTTCCGCGTGTTTACGCCGCCGCCTGTTTTTTCAGCCAGAAAATCGGTTTATTCTCCCCTTTCCGGATGCCACGCAATTGTTGGTTGGCGCACGTGTGGACCGTTAATTTGCAATTTCACAGACAGTTTCGATTTTCAAATATTGCAAATGCGAATAAAATGTTTTATTTTTTTTGGCCAATCTCCGCTAGAGTTGGGTACATTTGTACCATGGGTACACCTTAGAGCTGGGAAAACTTCGATGGCGCTATCGATAGCACAATAGTATTAAATTTTTACATCGATAATTACATTGATACGTGATATCGGAGAAGTTCCACCACCGAGATCTTGCTATCGTCGACTATATCGAAGGACTGCTATCCAAGGTGTATTGTATCCAAGGTATACTATATACTTTTCGGGATATTTTTAAGTCGGAATATTAAATCAATTTCATCAATCTATTAAATATAATTTTTAGGTCATTGTTAACGTTAAAAAGCAGCTTTGAAAACGAATTTTTAACATTAATTAAAGGAAATGGGGTATAAAAATGCCCATACAACATACAATCGGCAAGCAACAAGTGGTCAAATAACGTAACATTCCGAAAACTGCGGAAATTTCACATAAGCACGACAGTTCCAGATGATCTTTGTGGTCAGCAGGGACCTCTGCTTCAAAAAGGGCAGCCCAGAAACGTAGCAGCGAAGTAAAGTCCGCTTGGAGCCCGCCCTATTGTGTGGAGTAGAAAAAGTAAATGCAAGAAATACGCAAACTCTTTAATTATGAACAAAACAGTTTTTTGTTTATACATATGTATATGCCCGATTGACTGTAATGGTCAATGGCTCCGGAAGGCGCTCGCCTCACTTCTCCTCGCACCACTCGTTCTCCTTACGCACCTTCTCCTCCTCAGCTGGCGAGAAGTCGTTCATTATAGCAAAAGTGTCCCGGATTTCTTGCGGCGATTTTCCCTTAATCATATTTGCGACGGTCTTGCATGTGACATCCAACAGTCCCTGAATGTTAAGATAATTTGCAGCCAAAATGAGCTCGAACAAGGTGCCCTGGTCCACTTTCAGAAAGTCGGCGTCCCATGACGAAATGTCATCGGTGCGCTTCTCCTTGTTTTCATCCTCTTCGGCCATCTCGGGATCGTCCTTGTGGTAGGTGGCCCAATGGAGCACCTTCTTCAAAATGAGCGAATTGACATTAGGCAAGGGCAGCACGCTATTGTCGCTCTCATCGCCCAGATCTTCGAGAGCAGTCTTGATGGTCTCCGAGCACTTGGCGATCTCCGTGTCCGTGTCGAAGATTTCTTTATCCGATGATTCCAGCCGAATTATGGGCATTGTAATAGCTTTAATATGTGTAATATTATTGATATTTTATTCTCAAAGGGCTTTATTCCACTGTTCTTACATCCGCGAAAAAATAAAAGAAAGAGCACCAGACCCTGCCGACACATAAGCTATGGCCTACTAGCTAAAAATAAGATTTCGTCGCCTTCAACTTGAACCGCAGAGGGGCTGCAAGGGTCGGTAGTCTTCTGCTAGACGGTGAAACTATAAATTTTACAATATATTTATCACAATTAGATCAAAAATTTCAGAGAATTCCGACGGAACTTATGTACAAAAAAAAAGAAGTGGAAAGTATCCAGCCAGTGTGCGCACACCTAAGAATTGGATTTCAAATGAAGCGCGCAACGGAAAAGGGTTGCCACAGGCTAGCAATAAAATAATAAAATTAAACACTATGAAGTCTTTAATTACATTGTTGTACTCCTCGGGTACTTAAGAATTTACAAATTACATATTTAGCTGGACTTTCCTCTAATTTAAAAAACTTAAGCAATACTCCAAGGTTTTGGACATGGCTGCCACTATCATATCAGCGATCAGTATTACGGTCTGGAAAAACATGTCAATTATATCTGAGTCCTGAAACGTGGCTAGGAAGCGGATCAGAAGAACGGCGACGACCACCATGACAACCGGCCAGACCAGCGACAAAAGAAAGCGCAGCGCAAACAGAACCACGTACCACATGACCAGCAGGAACAGTAAGTAGACGACGAGCGTGCCCAGGTCCGACGGAATCGACAAATTCTTCATAAAGTATTCGTAAAGCACCATGTGGAATGAAGCATCGCGCCAGTCTGCGATGTCCTGAGAGCTGCGAACGTTTCTGTACTTGTCCGGCTCCATTTCAGAAAATTGTCTTTTTTGCCAAATTAGACTTTTTTGAGATCCAAGACGAGGCACACTGTGAACCCGGGGTTTGATTCACAGAAATTTAAATGCAAAAATACATTTGACAACAAAAACTTTGAGAAAAGCAGCTGGTCAGCTGTGACCATATGGCAAGACAACCAAAACCATCGATCAGCAGTATGCCAGCCCTGCAGGGTGGCAGGGTGACTGCTGTGAAACTCTTGCCATTTCAAATTTTATCCCGCCTAATGGACCGAATGGACTTCTGTGATTCGAAATACATACATACATATATGCAAAATATATTAGATTCAAGTGGAATACATTAAAATTACGCTACGACCTAGAGGCGACTGTCTAGCATGGGACCAGGATTTGCCAAGGCGTTGCGCCGCTCCTGGATGGCAAAGGTGAGCTTTCTGAAGGGTCCCAGCGGCAATCCGAGGGATTTGATGTCCCCCTCTGTAAGTAGCATCAGCGTTTCCAAGTCAATCTCTTGCTTTTGAAATCTGAAAGGTAGAACGCGAGATATTGAAAAAAAGCATAAAGAGACTGGAGGAGAATGACTCACACTGGCAGGTACTCTTCCAGGGCCCAGACAGCCAGGAACCGCTGCAGGGCACTGCACATGGCCTGATCCTGGTCGTCGTCCTCATCTTCGCTGTAAATATCATTCCCGCCGCCCTCGGAGTCCGTGTCGTCGGACAGATTCAGGTACAAGCGCCCCTTGCTGACGCCAGAACGTGCCTTGGCGTGACTGCCGTTGCCGGCGCCAGCGTTGCGCATGGTGGATGTTGAGCTGGTGTCTGTGTGCAGCTGGAGTTGGCTGAGAGCCGCCGTCACCGAGCGTCTGAATGCAATGCTGCCCAGCATAGTGGGTCTGTCGAAGAGGCCGACGGGTCTCTGGCGACCCAGATCATCGCTCAGCTCCTGCGTCAAGGGGCTATCGCCAAGAATATCCGGTTGGGAGAAGGAACGCGACAGCGCCGAACTGTAGCCGATGCGGTTTTCGTTGTGGTCGGGCTCGTCGATGCTCGACTCCACCTCGAATACGTCCGTGATCTTTCCGCGCTTGCCAACGCTCTCTTCGGTGGAGCTAAAGGTGCCCACGTACAGCACCTCCGAGTCCCGCTGCAGGCCCGTCAGCGAGGTGATGGTCCGCTTACCATCCGGCTCCAGCTCCCGCACTTTGAAGCCTCCGTCGCCAGCCACCTTCGCGTGGGGACAGGCGCTGGTGTGTTGCCTCTGCAAGTGCGAGGGTCTCTTTTGTACGGTTCCCACACGGCTGGCTATGGTGGAGCCACCACTGCTGCTGCTCCCGCTGCCCACCAGATCGCTGAACTTTGTCGGCGCAGTGGCTGGGGCTGTGTCGCGCGGTGTCTTGTTTAAGTTACCCTGGCTGGACCAGATCTTCTGCTTGAGCGTGGACAGCATGTTGCTGGACTTGCTGGTGCCGTAGCTCGGTGCGTTTGGTGGACTGGCATCACAGTAGTCGGTGTCCTGCCGCTGCTGCTGACGCTTCATGTAATCACGGACTCGCTTCTCGCAGTTCTTCTCGGCCAGCTCCCTCAAAGCCCTGGATTTCTTTCTAAAATGGGGGAACAACTTGTGGATGCACAGAGATTTTTGTGAGTTTTTATTCGGGCATACTTTTCATTGGCCTCGAATTGGGCGGTGGCCGCGTCCAAGTAGCGCAGGATCTCGTCCCGCCCGTTAATGGCCGCCAGGTCCTTGGCACTGTGCTTATCGATGTCCAAGGCGTAAATGTTGACGCCAAACTTGACCAAGAAGTCAACGCAATGCAGATGCCCCTTGGCCGAGGCCAAGTGCAAGGCTGTGTTGCCAAATTGGTCGCATTTATCGGGGTCACCTCTAGAATGTGGAAGTGGACACGTTAAAAGGAAAGCGAAGATGCAGAAGGGGGAGGAGGCAATGCTTACCCTCTGCCACACAGTAGGCGAAGTGCATCCAGACGTCCCTCAAAGGCCGCCCACATAACCGGCGTCATCGAGTCACTGTCCTTGGCATTCGTATCCTTGCGTGTGGCCGCCGACAGCACGTCCAGCAGCCCATCTTTGGCGGCTCTGGCGGCAGATTCGAAAAGTTAATGAGTCTTGTGCATGCCAAGGCGATAAGATAGAACGAAATTAATTGCATGTATGCTACGACTACACTCACTTGTGAAACCGGTCTGAAGACATTCCCAGGTGCCAGCCTTATCAATCCAATCAGTTGTTCCGCTGATGGGACTTCTTTAATCGAACTGGAAGGAAGCGCCTACATGTTAGTTGGGTGCTTTAATATATTTTCCATCCTTGATGAACCACAAAAACACAACTGGATTACAACAATCATCACAAGTACCAAAATCTAAATCGAATCTCTATGTCCAGTCTTTCGTCCAGCTAAAAAAGCGGAAAGGAACAGCAGCTAAGTCCCCGTCACATGAACATGAGTGGCACAATTTTCACATTCAAGGGATCTAGATCTGTCTCGCCAGCAAAGCAATCAGTAGGAAATGGAAGACCCGGAAAAATGTGTGGAAAGCGATTTCTGGAATTTCAACGATTTCCATGAGCTGTTTGACGGGTGCAAAAATTAATTGTGTCCCTTTTTTTTAATAAAAAACGAGATCGTGCACACAGTTTCACAGTTCAAAACTCTCTCTCATTACAAGGCCCAATTAAAACCAGTTAAAGCAAAGATCATCCAAGCAACCAAGTCCGCACAACAGATTTCGTTTTACCTTTTCCCTAACATACCAACATGGACACATACATATGTACGCAGACAATTGTTCACACGTTGTTGGCTAAAGAACAGGCACACACACTCACACAAACACACTGAAACCCGAACGACCCAACTACCAAGTTCAGTCAACCTTGCTGGCTCGTTTTGAAATTGCCCAAAAACCACCATCTATTGGGCAGATATGTCGAGGCAGTCATCCATTTACAACGAATACACACAGCAAGCACATACATATGTGTTGTTTATTTGGCAGAGTTCAAGACCGCTTTTCCCATGCAACAAAACAAGTGAGACGCTCAACAACCACCTGAAGATTTCCAATTCGATATTTTCCCGATTGTGCACGAACGGTATTTATACAAATCCAATTGGAGCTTTTTGACGAATAAATGAGTGACTAGCGCCTACTTAGAGGTGTCAAACCATCGAGGACACTATCGAGAGTATCGATATTTTACTGCTAGCCTCTACTATCGACGGTTTTGCGACTATGATGTTTTGATATGTTTGGATTGGCTGCTATAAAATACGAAGACAAATTTGTAAAAAAAATCGACAGGTGGCATCTAATTTTTACAATGGACAAGTTCCTAAAAGGTTTCAATGGTTTTTTAATAATTATTTAAGCCCGAACTATCACGATAGTATCGATTGTTTTTTCGAGACATTCAACGTTGATATTCCTCGATTTTGATATTCAGTTTAATGTTACTATATAGTTGGCCCTCTCAGCCCTAAAAAAATAATTTTATGCAATTCCTCAATAAATTTTGTTCAGGATTGGCTAGTTTTCAGAATTATTTTTAATGGGATTGTTTAGATAATAGGGTTCAAACAAAAACGGCCAAAGCTAAAACGTAAATGTTGACTAAATGTGACGTCAGTGTTGCTGGTCAACCAAGTTTCTTCTATGCGTAAGGACTTTTGTATACCGTATTTTCTTTAATTGATGTTAAATTTATTGTTCCAAGCTCCATTGAAACATTAATAATGCAGCTTTCTTAGATTGAGATGTATTTTACCCATTAATGCATATGTTTTGTGTTTTATAAATAGATATATCCCGGTTCTGCTACCTATTATTGGAACCCGTGAGCTGCAAAATTTCGTTAATATCTTTAAAACAGAGACTGAGTAGTTTCTGCATTAATTGGAGCCTGAAATTACAAACAATATCTCAAGTCTATAATATCCATTTTCCCAGGGTATGCAGATTGTTGCTCATTCCGTGCCAAAGTTGCACAACAATGCTGCTAATTCATTTCCACATGCTGCTGAATTTTTTCCCATACAAATCAAACGTATCTTACGGGAACGTCGCAACCATGAATCTACGTTACCGTAAGATACATGTTGCCACACCACGAAAGTCGTCAAAAAGGAAGAAAAACCTCTGCCGAAAATTTTTCCGCGGTGCCCGACAGTGGCGCCCTCTGGCCGGCGAAAATGTGTTATTTACGGTATATTATGAAAACGATAAGGTATATTTCGGTATATTTCTGAGGGTCAGGCGGGCATATTTTATTGATAAATCCGCGGTCACACTGCAAGGAAGAGAAAAAACCTTTAAAAATTATTAAAAAAAACAAATTTAATCTCTGGGAAATGTGCCACACCACACTAACGTTTGCGTGCGGCAAAAAATGAAATAAAATAAAATGTGAAAACTACTCGAAACGAGGATTTTTGTGGCAGTTATTACTGCAGCTCGATGTATATGCACGACGTGTGTCAATATATGTATGTATACACAGACACACGCAGCAGTGCGTTTGCGTAGGAGGCACCAAAATAATAACAGCACAGCAAAGCACCCATAGCCACAGCAACAAAGAAGTCTCACCATATGTTCGATGCGTCAGAGCGTCATTGGGCGAACTTGCAGTGCCAATGTCAAGCCGATAGCCAGTAGCCATAGGATCCGCAACTCCAAACAAGTGTCAGCCATTTGGGCAGAGCTAGGGAAGCATATGCAAAGTGCAAGGCCAGCGTCGGACCAGTCGCGGAGGACACCAAACCGCCCGCACTATGGGCAATTGCTTGAAATGCTTTCAGTCTTCTGCCGAACAATCGTTGCCAACGTCCTCATCTCCTAACGCCTCGCACTCGAACGCCTGCCAAACCACCAGCCTCGCCAACTGCTACGAATCGGTCGGCCCCAATCCCAATGCGAATGACCGTTGCGCCATATACAACGATCGGCCACGCGGTATGTATTCGAATGCGTCTATTACTTTGAAGTCAGACTTCTTACATATGCTCATCGCCTTGCAGAAACTGACGAATTGCTCTCCAGCCGAACTCCACTCAAGCCAGTAAAAGCAAACAATTGTGATACTAAGCGTAATAGTTTTAAGTCTTTAGGTTTGCTTAATGGAAGTGCACCCACGATGAGCGATATCATAACAACTGGTGAGTCATTTGGTCTGCTCTGCCGAGTGAATTCCATATGAATGCTTTTGAATTATCTATCATTCGCACAGCGGTCAAAGAATCGATGGATGAAACTCTAATCAAACTGTTCGATGTGTACAAGGACCCTGACGATGAAGACATGATACTCACTGATGGCATCGAACGTTTGTGCAATGATCTGAACTATCAGCCCGACGAGTTCGCAATACTGGTGTTGGCCTGGTGCCTGGACGCCTCTCAGATGTGCCGTTTCACCAAGACGGAATTTATTGATGGCCTGCACAAGATGCGTGCGGACACAATAGCTAACATTCGCCTGCGGCTGGAGCAGACAATTGAGATGCTTCGGGCGGATTCTGAGATGTTCAAGCAGCTATACCGTTTCACCTTTCGGTAATTGACCTTGCTATTATCTTTTATTTTTATTCATAACCGAAGTTGCCGTGTTATTTGCCCGATTTCAGCTTTGGCCTTGAACCCGATCAGCGCGTGCTCTCTCTGGAGATGGCAATCGATTTGTGGAAACTAGTGTTCACTGTACAATCACCTGATCTCTTTTCAAACTGGATAAACTTCTTAGAAAAGCACCCGAATATACGCCGCATACCGAAGGATACATGGAACATGTACCTCAACTTTACGGAACAATGTGATATAAACAATTACGATGACACCGAAGCGTGGCCCAGTCTCTTCGACGACTTTGTGGAATATGAAAAGAATCGTGCGCTGGAATTGTCAGGTATTCACGACGATGATAACAACAATGATGATCTCCTTCAGAGCCACGTCAAGGCTGGGGATCTGCATCACGTTTCGTAGTATCTGTCTTTAGAGCCAGCAGCTTAAGGCAGCGTTTCACTCGCCAATTTAACAATATAACAAGAACTGTACATTTTTAAATTTACTATTCATTTGCTCTCTTGCTGTTGCCTATGTTACCCCTTACAACACGCAAAACAACACAACCCACACCTGTGTGGCCACTTTAGACAAACGTTGCGGTGCTGGCGCTGCTTAAGGATTCCAACACTCATCACTCGGCAGTTTGAATAGCTTGCACACACTTTAGCAAGGGCAACGGACGCATTTGTTTATATAATTAAAGACTTAACAAGAAGAATTTCGGAAAAGCTCAATCATCGGAAACCATGTGTATATAACTAAATGACTTGTAGGTAGAGCAGAAAGGCAAACCGTATCCATATTTAGCAATTAAACGATGTATTATTTTAAACAACATTTTATGGCACTTAACTATTTAAATGCATATAATTATATACTTAAATGTAAGTAGTGGATGTGAATTAAATAAAACCAACTAAATACGAAATTCGAGTTCAATTATGGTGTGATGTGAATTCAAACAGGCGCTCCAGCTAATCGCCCAGCAATAAATTACATTTAATGATTCGGCCGTTTTTTGTTTAAACCTTATATTATAAATTTTCCAATTAAAAAGAGTCTTCGAAGTTAGCCAATCTTGTAGAAAATTTATTTATCTGTCGGATAGAAACTAGAAACTCGAACATTTTTAACGCAGCTCAGGAGAAAGACATCGCGTTGATAACTTTTTGTCCTCAGAGAGAAAACTTGGATCCAAGAAGAATTCACAAAAAATTATTATTTTCAGCGGCTTCACCAAAGTTTGCAACTTTATAAAAAGTAGGGGGGGGGGGGGGGGGTGGGGCTATGTGGGCCAAGTTTGTTTTATCCACTTTATATTTATGGTATTTTTTGTAACATACAAAGGTATATTTCTGAGCGTCTGGCGGTATATTTTATCGTTAAATCCTTGGTCACACTGCGCATGTATTGCTATTTGTCTGATAAAAATTTATAAAAATCATTGCAAGCTGTATTGGTTGTATTGCATTGGGAATGAGTAAGTGCTTGGCAGACTTTCGGCGCCTATAAGCCATTCCGAACGACAGAGATATGATAACGGCGCAAAAAGGCTCGATTATCCAGTGATTCAGAGAGTTGAGTTGACATTGAAAAACAAATGCAATGCCAACAACACAGTGGGTGTGAGAAGGAAGGGCAAGGATAAAGTAAATGGTCGATCAGACTGGTACATAAGCTCATAAACTACACTCAATTATGCCCTGCGAAAGTTGTGGAGTTGAGTTCACCGTATTTCGTCGGAAGCGCGCTTGCTTTGATTGCAAGTAAGTACATACAAACATAAATATACACATCTGTGCAAAACAAACATGCATGCATATGTACATAAATGCGTACATACCTACATATATGTATGTATGTATGTGATTGATGTACGAGAATAATTCTATTAATTTGATTTCTCCGAACCAAAGGCGCTTTTATTGCGGCAACTGCATAGATGCCAGACGCTGCCAGCGATGTGCGATATTTGCTCAAAGACCGCTGCTGCGGACCGACTTGCTGAAGCTGAAACCGAAGGATCTTATATTTTACTTGCAGTCTAAGCACATCTCCACGGATGGTTGCTTGGGTGAGTCAGACATTTGCTATTTCACCAGACCCAAAGCTTATCCAGACGCCGTTTTGCAGAGAAAGAGGAATTAGTGGGGCTGGTGTTGGCGCATGTGGCCCAAGTGGACACTGGTCGTGCTAACAATGGCCCCCACAGTCCTGGACGTGGACAGGCCAACCCCATTGATAGCATCAAACAATCGTGCCAAAATTTCTTTACTAATCTAACCGACAACTTAAGTGATTCCTTTGCTTCCTTCGATACAAAGGCAAGTTCGAAGCCGCCCGAGAATGGCCGTCAGGCCGCCAGTGGCACTGAAGCACCCTCGCACATATTTGAGCAGCCGCGAGTGTCCACGCGGGAGATTCCCACATATGCCAGTGCTGTGAACGGCTCTAGTGGACCAGAACGGGTGCATGTCCATGCCACTACGAACGGCAGCAGCCGTAGCAGCAATAGTCCGTCTACTTCCACACAGCCATCAAGTAGCCGCGATGCCGAAGCCAATCCACAAAACAACCGTAGCGGCGGCAATGAAAGCGGACAGGCGATTGAAGAAGTCCATGACAACAGATCCGAGTGCGAGTGTTTTGATGATGAGATTATGGCCACGTTCAGTGAACGCGTTGGGGGTGGGCAAGCCAGGCCAGCGCCAGAGCCAAGCTCAGCTGGACCAGGGCCAGGACCATCCACAGCCACCACTAGCACGAGTCCAGGCTACTCAAATATACTGGAGGATACTGGCAAGGATGCTTGCGGGGCGGACGTCTCCTCGCAGTCAAGTTTCGAGGAGCTGGGCGCTATTGGGGGCATATCCGACGAGAGCAAGACCACCACAGACACCAATAGCAGCAACCTGGACCAGTGGCAGGTGCTAGAGGTGAACAGAATCGACCCAGCAGCTGACACACCAAGTACTAGCAATGCGGAGGAAATTCTTGAAGTGACTCTACGCAGTCGACCAGCCCGGGACGGAGACAATGGGACAGAGACCCTCAACATTGAGCAGCGCTCTGTTCCGGCAAACCAATATCCCGTTGTGCCGCAACGCGCTAAGAAAGTCACGCGACGACGCTCCGATGGCTACTTGAATCGCACCCATCATTCCAGCGACGATGATTCGCCCGTGGCGTCTGGGGGACGTGGGCTTAGTCTGGGTCTCTCCACCTTGAGTGAACAGCCCGAGCCAGCCACCTACTCGCAGCGCCCAAGCTGCCAGCGCTGTGGGAAGAACAAGACAAATATCCGGCGGCAAGTGGAGAAGATGCGGCGTCATCTGGAGAACTCGCAAATGTCTGAGGAGGATATCAAGAGGGAGCTGCAGGACTTTCTCACGTACCTGGAACAGCGCACAAAGTCTGTAGACGGCTCTGAGGCGGGCAGCTATGCTGTCTCTCCACTGAGTGGTGAGGCGGTCAGCGTGGCCGCTGGGGGAAGATCTTCGGGTATGCCAATTACGCCTACAATTGAGTTCTCGCCAACGCAGGATGATGATATTCACTGGGACGATGACGAGGGCATTCATGTGTATGCAGCGCCTTCGGACTATGAGCCGGCGGCCTGCATTGATTCGCGATTTGTTAATTTACAGGATTTTGAAGATTTGTATGTGAATGATGCAAATGGGGTGAACGAATAATGCTAAACATATTTTCTCTGTTTGTGTTTGTCTTGCAGAAATGATTTGGAGAGTCTGACGGTGAAACAGTTGAAGGAGGTCCTCATGTTGCATCGCGTCGACTACAAAGGCTGCTGTGAGAAACAGGAACTGCTGGATCGAGTGAGCAGGCTCTGGAAGACAATGCGCTCGACACCAGGTGAGATCAATTCATTCCTCTGCTTTCCCAGTCGTGTCTCTTCTAATGTTTATTTAATGCATCCCCATTGCAGCTGTCGAAAAACTGGCTACGGATGAGCTTTGTAAGATTTGCATGGATGCGCCCATTGAGTGCGTATTCCTGGAGTGCGGACACATGGCCACGTGCACGAAATGTGGCAAAGTGCTGAACGAGTGCCCCATTTGCCGACAATATATTGTACGAGTTGTAAGATTCTTTAGGGCATAATTTGATTTTAAATATGTTTGCGGTTACTGGTATTGGTGTTAGTGGATATGGGGCTGAAGGGGCCGCCACCACCTTTGCAGGTCAAAGTACATCGTCCAGAGATGTCGTAGATGTACTACCGCCAAGCCAAAGGCCAAGACAAGCGGAATGTATGTATGTTTGTTTACTTTGATTGTATGTAGATGGATATGGATTCAAGTGCAAAAAGAAATTGGTTTTTATGTTTTACGATTAAGTACGTTGCAAGTATATATACTATATATATACACATATGTATATGTATACACACCTACCACAGATACCGCTTTCAAAGTGTATTTATCTATTTGAAATTTGGAAATACTTTTGCTATATAATTTAGTTTGTTCTTGTTGTTTGTATAAGAAACGAGAGGTTATCTAGATAAAACTAACATTCCTATAAGAAGAAACCAGATTAAATCTATTACTTATTAACAGTTAGTTGTGAAACACTCAACGATTAATTGCGCAGTACATAATTTCATATTCGATTGTTATTGAATTAAAAAGGCATGCCACAACCACAACCGCACCCCAGAGATCGCTCAAGATAATCCACCAATTGATTGAGCACATGCCTAGACCCGAAAGCGATACATCTCGGGCAGACAGGACCATAGCATAGGAGAGTCAGAGGATTAGCAAATCATCTCAATTAAAATGAAGTGAAAAACAGAAAAGAAAATAGATCGAAAAGACTAAGCAAATGTGTTAAAATACGAGTAATAAATAAAATCAAATATGGTTCTTCTTCGCCGTAAGCTGTACACTTGAGTCATCTGTGCTGCAAGGGACTACTTGCTAGTTGTATATCTGTACATATTGTAGGAATAGTTTTTTTCAAATACAACAGTCTTTATTTTCAGTTAAGCGGTAGGTCTAAGATTAATGACAAGAGCTGGGATAGCGCTGTGACTAGAGGGTAGGAAGAGAGGCGGGTCCAATCAGCGACAGTTGATTGGAAATTCAAATTCGGTGCATGCGCAGATCGAGCGGCGAGTCCACCTCCATGCTCATGAAGTAATCCTCGCTCGGCAGATAGCTGTGTTGCCTTTCGTTCAGCCAATAGCTGGAGGAATAATCCGCCTCTGGCTTGTGCTTTAGCGAGTAGTCGCTGGGCTCGTTGCTGGACAGCTCCAGGTAGTAGCGGGTGGAGGAGGCAGAGGACTCAACGCTGCCGGCGGGCAGACATGTGTAGGGTGCCGTGGCCTCACTGGCCTCGAGCAGGTAGGGGGCGCGGTTCTGATGGGGCAGCGTGAGCGGCTGGCTAGCAATGAGGTGGATGCTGTGCTTGAAGGTCTTCACGTGCTTGCGTAGCGACGATGGATCCGTGTAACGCTTCTGGCAGCCGGCCACCTTGCACATGTAGGGTTTCTGTAATGGAAAAGCAGAGGGACGGCCGTTAGCATATGTCCTCGACGATGGGGCTGAGCGTGTGTGTAACTTACCTCCATCGAGTGTGTCCTGGTGTGCTTGAACCGATCGGAGGAGTTGGAGTACGCCTTCTGGCAGCCCTGGAAGCTGCACTTGTATGGCTTCTCTCCCGAATGCGATCGTATGTGAATCTTTAGATTTTCCGCCCTCGAGAATGACTTCTCGCACAGATGACAACTGTGGGGCTTCTCCTTGGTGTGGGTGCGCGTGTGGACGAGCATCTTGTAGCGGGCGTTGAACCCCCGTTCGCTGCGCTGGCATCCCGCCCAGCGGCAGTAGTAGAGGCCGTCTGTCAGCGAGGCAATGGCATGCCTCTGTGTGACGTGCTGGGCAAGTGCTTCCAGTGTCTCGAATACCCTGCAAATTTCAAGAAGCGACGACCAAGCGTTAGTCCATGAAAACATATCCAGAGCAAGGGCTAAATGCTCACCGTTCACACTCCAACCAGTTGCAGATGAAGTCGCTGCAGGCTCCACACTCGCTGCTGCTGCTGCTGCAGGACTTGCTCTCGTCCTGGAACTCCACCGGACTGCGGCACAGGTCACCTTGGCTGTGCACTTTCATAATCACGGAGTATGTGCGTTGTGTGGGATGCTGCTGCTGCTGCTGTTGCTTATGCTCGGCGTGGAAGTCCAGGCCAGGCGCAGGACGCGGCGGTGTGTTAGGCGGAGTGGGGAATCTGATGTGCTGCTGCATCTGCTGTTCCGCTAGCCAGCTGCTGGGATCCGGGTACGGCGCTATATACGGCGGTGTGTTGTACGGTGTGTAGTAGCCAGCGGGCGGCTCGTATATCTCCCCGATTCTGCCGCTGTTGAAGATCGACTTTTGTACTACTATATCCATGCTGATGACTGACTGATTAGCTCTAATAGGGGATAGCTATTCGTTTCTGGGGGCTTCTTTCTCTGTCTGTGGTTTTCTTTGTGGGTGGTGGCTGATGTTTGGTAGCTGGTAGCTGGTGGCGAGGCGTTCGGTAACGCGTTTCCCAAACGAATGAGCCGCTCGCCTGCAGACATTCGTGTAATATTCGAAACTTGGCTCCCGATAAGGGCGGCCAGACGGAGGCTCTTATCAGCTGAAGGCTGCAGACGGGCCAGGGGGTGGGCTGTGCCGGGGGGGGAGGGAACAACCAGTCGGACCCAAAAACAGCAGCGGACTGCGGGGCAGGTGCGTGAGCAAGTGGGGGCAAGTGGATCTGGGGCAAAGCAAAGGCACACACTACGTGAGTGGAGCGTCGTTCCAATAGTTCTGATTCTGATTGGTATGGTGGGACGTTTGGGAGGAGCTGGGGTTTGCATCGGTTCGCTTATCAACGCACAAGTGGAAACCCAGCGTCGGAGCTGCTGCTGCTGCTACTGCTGCATGTGTACGGCCGATGATCAGGCCGCAGTGAAGCAGCTCTTTGGGGGGCAAGCGTTATCGCCTCGCCTCGACTCGACTCTACTCGAATCGTCTGTCTGGCTTGCACTTCGTACCATACCCGAAGGCGAATTCCCGCCAGCCGCAGCCAAAGAACTACCCACCCCCCCACCACAAGTCCAGGTGCCAGCTGTGACCGTGTACGGTACGTACGTCCGTCTGTGTGCTCCACTCCGTTTTGATAAAGCAGGCGCAGTCACCGTCGTGTCGCGTCGCCTGGTTATCACACGGCGAGTCAACAAATGCCGCCGCCACATGCCGTTCCCCATATCTTTCGCCCGCTGGCGGAATCGGAATCGGCCAAGTTTCTGCACCATGACGTGAATGGAACGACGACGCTCCGCTCCGCTCTCCGCTCTCGGCAAACGGGAATCGTCTGCGTCTATTCTTAAGGCCAAAGCGTGTATGCAGGGGTGCCGACGGCTTTGGTATCGCTCTGCTGGGTGCTGGTTTGGTTCTCTTATCACGCTATCAGGCGCTGTCTGGCGTCTGCGAGTGAGTGATTCACAGGCAACCTTCGCTCTACCTTCTCCACCATCCCAAGGCCCCCCTGCATGCACACGGGCCACTGAGTGGGGGGGTCTCTCTGCATTACATAAAGAATATGACACTGGGGGAGGTGAATGTGATTTTGATAAGCCCTTGCCCACTATCAGCAATGTAATTCAGCAACAGGTGTACCCATTGCCACTCCTATGGCTATTCCCCACTCGATCGAAAACGAGAGTGGGGGCCTCGGGGCAGAGAATCGGATCGGATCATGATTTATAAATAGATAGAGGAATCAGCCCACGGACTGCTTCTGCTGCCTCGATTTAAGTACAGTTTCGCGCAATGAGAACAGTTCAGAGCTCGGCCTTGGGCACCGATCGGATGTCGATGTCTGTCTGTCTGTATAATCTATTCACTTGCCAAAGACGGCTGTTGAAGGACCCCAGGCGCAACCTAATTTAATGTTTGGCATGCGTTTGACGGTCATATAATCAAAATATCATCAGAATGGAACCTGAACGGAGCGGCGTGCCTGCCGGTGACAAAACAGAAATCCGGATTTTCTGAATTCGAATCTGAACTTTGTATGGCGCGAGCGCCGGATGATAAGGAATGTTTCAGTCCAGTCCTTCTCTCCCAGCACCTCCACCTACCCCCCGCACATATGTCTGTGTGTACATAGTATGCACATACCATTTCTCCCCCCCCATAGGACCCTCCCCAAAGTCCATCAACTAGGGGCGGGGGGCTGCTGCTGCTGATAAGGCTGCTGCTTTAGTAGTAAAAGGAATAAAAAATTAAATAAGCATTTGCGAATTTCGGTTTGGGAGCGATTACCGGATCGTGTGTGTGCCCGCCTGTTAATTTTCCGTGGCTCGAATCTGAACGAAACGTAAATAAAAACAAAATCGGAACGCCAGTCCAATGTGGGGGACTTCCAGACACTTGAAGTCGGGATGCGGCACTCTGCGATCCAGTTCGATCCGGTACCGGGATGATGTTCAATATTTCCATCAAATTAACAACAATCGACTGATAACGAACGGCACGGGGTCTGGGATGGCTGGCAAAGGTGATTTTTGGTTGCCGATAAGCTGAAAACGAGATCGGAGCGAGCCGGGTCCCGCTTTGGGTCTAAGATTCAAATCGAGACTCTGGGGCGGGCGTGTGCTCAAGTGGGGTTTATCTTGAAGATGCACGTACCGCAGAGACGGAGACAGCCGAGAATGCTCCATGTTATGCGGACATTGTTGATTGGGGTTATCTTGTCGCGACGGTGGCGACGCTGGGCGGCGGTGGACCCACTGCGAGCTGATATGGATGGTTACTGCAGAGTCCAATGAATGGCTAATTGCTTTGTTGCTGACAACGACAGACTTCCAAAGTCCACGTCCATCCAGCCAGCTGCCTGGGACCCCAGCCCTTCAGCCATCCCAGCCAGACGCATCCAACTCCAAATGGGAGAAGTTTGCATGCAGCAGGGGCATGCATGGAAACACGGACGGATTCCTCGTGTCACCTCCTCTGACCGCCGAAAAACGAATATGGGTGATTCTGATCTATTATTTATATGCCTTATCAAACCAACAACATCACCAGACAGTGCGATATGGCGAAAAAGTTAAAACAAAAAATACAAAAAAAAACGATTCCAGACATTCGTGGGAGCCGCCCATAGCCAGCCGCCAGACCTTCCGGCAGTGGCTCTATTTATATACCCCCGTCGTACATACAGTTGGTGTTGCTTGCTATTTAGGTGCGATATGCTATTGTTTCTGGCGCTGATACGGCTGACAATATCTCGTCTAGACTGGGCCTCATGAGAGGCCCAATTGTTCAAGTTTAACGGAAAAGTTTTAATAACAAATACGAGCATGTACGTACTAGTATATGTATACCCCACCATAGGTGGTAGGTGGTATAGGTAGTGGTGTGAGGTAGAATGGATCCAACAAAGCCGCTGGGGTCTTTTCTTTTTATATATATTTTATGGTATAAATTCTTGAAGGGGGCAATTTAGCCAGCCTTGCTTATCACACGATTTCGATTTATGAAAGCCAGACAGGAAGTGAAACTTATAGTTTTACTTGAGCTAAAGAGCTTTGCTATCCAAGCAAATCTGTGCCTGGTCAACCAACGGGTCAAAGAAACAACGACACATGTATAGCAAATGGTAAAATAAAGAACTCGATAATCAATTTAACACGTGCAGACGAACTGGCCTTGACAACGAGATTCAACCGTGAACAGCCCCGTATCATGAGGGCGGCATGACATGCGACCATGCACACCTATAGTGTGAGAACTCGGCCCTACCACACAGAACTGTACACTATCGCGACACAATTGATTGGCGGAATGGCCAACAGGCAGATTGAACGAATGTAAACTTACTTTTTGGGGGCAATAAATTTATTAGACTAAACAATTTCGTTGATGTACTTTTAAAGTTCGCGCTCACTCGACCGACGCATGTCGCGGGCTGTGTTGTGTTGTTGTCGTCGCCTGAGCGGAGAATGGAGTTCGGAGTGCGGCGAGAGTGTGGCGTCCGTGGGGTCGCCAGAAATCACCAAAATAAACGCACCCAACGTCTGTGACCCCCACACGGCGCAGTGTCATCAATGCTGGCTATGCCTATGAACCATAAATAAATATTGCTGCGGTTTAATTTTAATCACAGCCATACATACGAGGGCTATACGAAGTGATCCAGATGGTTCTGCATGTAGGTGACGAGCGATTTTTCGAACAACGGAGTCACCAGACGATCTCCTCCAATATTTAAGCTCACAAAGAACTGCCGGCGGTAGCGCTTGCCCAGCTTGGCGGCCAGCACAGATGATTCAGTTTGACCGTAACCACCCATAATGGTCGACGAAAGTGCATCGGTTTTGGTAGAGTCGCGTGGGGGCATGCCAACAGCCAGCTCATCGAAAACCTCACATTCTTTTGAATTTATAATCAGCATTGTGCTGCCATTCATCTTGAGGACCCTCACTATAAACTGTGCAGGTCCATTGTCCAATATGGTCATGTGTGAGGTGAATGATGCATTTCCACCGGCTTCCTGGTTGTGGCCACCATTCAGCTGGGCATTCCCAGCATCTCCGGCTGCTGCTGGGTCTGAAATTTTAAGGTTCTCCATCTCTCCAACTCCAACTGTCTGTGTTTGATTATATTTTAAATCAATTTATGACGGAAATTTCACTTTAAAAAAAGTAAACAAAAAATTAACAATGAGGATGCAGCAGTGGATTTAAAGATAAAATATACCGCCTGACCCTCAGAAATATACCGAAATATACCTTGTCATTATCAAAATATACCATAGCTATACTGACGGACACGACAATACGTTGATATTTCCCGATTTTAATATTCGGTTTATTATTACTAGCTAGTTAGCCCTCTCAGCCCTGAAAAAATAATTTTATTCAATTAATCAATCATTTTTGTACAAGATTGGCTATTTTTCAGAACTCTTTTTTATTGGATTGTTTACATAATAAGGTTCAAACAAAAACGGCCAAAGCATAAAACCTAAGTGTGTACCGGAATGTGACGTCATGTTGCTGGTCAACATGATTTCTTCTATGCGTATGGACATTCGTATGCCCTAAAGAGTGTCTAACTGATGTTAAATTATTTTCCAAGCTGCTTTGAAACGTTCTCTTTCCTTCTCTGCGGCAAAAATCATGATGTCGACCCTGGCACAGTTATATTTTATATATATCTAATTCCCTTCCTCCTTCCTAATCCACTCGATAGGCCTACCGCAGTGAAGTTGCTGCCCAAAGGCCCAGTTGCAGTTTAAATTAAATTAAAGTAAATGGAAAGTCAAGGTTTTTGCCGGTCGCAGTGTCGTTTGCATTTTTATTAGAGCTCTTATTAATGTCGGCAGTTTTTTTTATAGATTTTTTGTTTGAGTTAAAATACATATGTACGATATTTTGTTCACAATTACATTCAGATTTTAGTTTCGCATTTACTGCGCACATCTACGGATTTTCATATATATTTGTAGCGTTGTTTGGATTTGAACTACTTAAAATGGATACAAAAACGAGAAATGTGCGAGTGGCCATTGAATAGAGATAACAAAAAAATATGGGGGGGGATTATAATATTCGATAGACGAGTTCTCAGTTCCGGTTGAGTTAAGATTTACTAATTATAAATTAAAATTGCATATATGCGATGCGTTCGTGACTTGAAATGTCAATTTAAATCTACTACTTTCGGTTGCGTTTATATTTCATGGAATAATTATACTTTACGTTTGCGTCTATTGCGTTTTATTTGTATTGTTGATATTAAGTTGTTAATTGTTTGCATTTATGGATATCAAGTAATTTTGATTAACTTCTGGGTTCTTCTACTATAATTTGACTAAGATTTGCTGTAACCGCGATGCCTAGCTTTCCTTTTCATCCTGCTGCTGAATTTATCTTCTTTTTTTTGTGGCGTTTTCTTTGTTATTTTTCATGTAATCAATTTGTGAATATAAATTAGTGTGATATACAATAGTAATTGTTTGTTTTTTTTTGTTATTCGGGGCGGTGCTTCTTAATCCTCATCGTCCTCGGATTCGGCTTCTTGTAGCCAAGTCAGCCAGGCGTTCACTTGGAACAGGGCGGATCCTTTGCCTGGATATTTGTCGGAAATCTCCTCCTTCCACGAGACGAATGCTTCCTCCTCAATGATTTCTGACTCGTACAGATATTTGAACCAGCGACACAGCATGCCTAAAGCGAACAAACAGAATGGTTAGGAAAATAAAGTGTTGTCTATTCGTCTATTCTTCAGCGACTTACCCTTGGGGAAATTCTCGTTAAAGCAGAACGCCTGCAAGGCATACAGCGCGATAAGTTGCAATTCGGTTTGTTCAAGGAAGGTCTGCAGCATTTGACTGTAGTTCTCCAGCATCTGCTGCTCCTTCTGAGTAACCGGCTTCTCCGGTGCTTCCTTTGGATCCAGATTGGGGGCCAGTGTCGTCTCCTTGGTTATATATTTTACCACTACGGTCATGAGGGATTGAATAAAGCCGGGGTCCTTGTAGTACTTGCTGTCCACATTCGATTTAATCCACTTGTACAAGTTCTGAGGACTTGGATCGCTTAGCAGCTGCTTCATCATCTCGGCCTGCACTTTCAGCAACGGATAAAGGAAGGAAAGATTGCGATCCTCGAGTATTTCAGCCAGTCTCTCCTTGTTTCGATCCACCTCTGGCAGACTGTTCATCAGATCAATTTTGCTTGCTCGGTACTTTTCCTCCAAGCTCTCCTTGCCAATGCTCTTGTGCAGCTGCTGCAACACCAAAAGGAATAGCGGGAAGTGCTGCCCATTGTCTGTGTAGTTGGCTATGTCGTTCAGCTTCAGCAGTGCTGGCTCGCATACGGTCCGGCTCAGGACATTCGCCACGAGGGCCGTGATCCTCGGATTGAGAGCTTCGCGCTCGTTCATCTTATTGACCAGCTGCTTGAAGACCTCGACAATAATGTTCGGCTTGATGCTCGACTGTTTGCGCAATGTCTGCAAGAAGCGCACGACGCGCTCCAAGTAGACATCATTCGCACGGTCCAGCACATCCATTAGCAAGTTAATGCAAACATCCTTCAGAGACTTCTCGGGAAGTTTCAGCTCGAGGAATCCCTCCACTAGGTCAGTGAATCGGTCCGATCTGACGGAGGTTGTTGGTTCTTCGCCCTCCTGCTCTGCAGCTGGTGCAGGAGCTTCGACTTCTGTCTGCTCCTCATCCTTGGTATCCTCTTCGTAGAAGAACTTCTCCTTGAAGTAGATAGTGGCCTTCTTGCCCAGCTCCTCCTTGCTGGTATACTTATCCTTCTTCTGCTGCTTGGCCGAGCCATTGCCTGCTGGTGTTGTCGGTCTTTCCACGGAACCACTCTTCGGTTGTTGTTCCTTGCCGTCGTTCGAAGACTTTGCGGATTGGGCATCTGCGTTCTGCTCATTCAGTTTCTCCCGCGAGCCAACGTCACCAGAGCTGAAGTTGGGCGATGATGAAGTCGCCTTAAGAGTCCTCTCCTGCTGAACACCAAGCAGTGTCTTGTTGTCTGCATATTCCGCAGACGGGGTGGACGATGGACGTGCTGGATTCATTAGATGGGATGTGGGAGTGCCCAGCAACGGATAGTGGGAGTTGGATAGCTGTCCCTGGTCCTTGCCCTGGCTGTTGTTGGGTGGCGTCGACATGGGCAACGTGGCTGGGAACTTCTGATTTTGGTTGGCCGCACGGAAAAGCAAGGAGTTGGCCGCCGGGCGCATTTGCAAGTTCTCCACCGCATCCTGGTTCGTGGTGATCAAATTACGCTTGAAACGCGGCGCCAGCTCCTTGCTGCCCAGCAGCTGATTACCGCCATATTGTCCATCGTTGCGGTCCCTGTCACGGTCGTTGTTCCTACGCGAATCATCACGGTCGCGGTCCCGGTTACCGGATGACCCTCCACCGCCATTTCCTCCACCATTCTGGTTGTGCTTGTTGTAGCGATTGTTGTAGTTACCGCCACCACCACCACCGCTGCCGCCACCACCGTTCTGGTCGCGATTGCGGTCGCCGCGATTGTTGTACTGGCGATTATCACGATCCCGGTCCCGATTCGAGCTGGTCGCGAATCTGGAAAGATAATTTATTTATTAATCAGTATCGAAATCCCTCATCGAAAACAGCTTGAATGCAAGTCTGACTCTGTCACTACTTACGGGGACACAATGGGCGAGGCTCCGGTGACACTTAGCCCGCTGAACATATCATTGTAGCCAGGCTGGATATTCAAGTGGAATCGATTCATCCAGCTGTCGGAATCGCGATCGTTGTTGCGCATATCGCGATTGCGATTGGGGAAGGGGGTGCGAATGATAGAGTCGTCGTCCGAGCGTATTTGCTTTATGGGGACGGGTCCCTCGGCGGTGCCAACCTTGCGTGGAATCCAATGGTTCAGTCGCAGCTCGATGACATCCTTTAGCATGAAGCGTATCCTTGGTGGATATTCAGTTGACTTTGATCGACGTTCCAACGTCTCGAAGTACTGATTCATCAGCTCTTTGCCCTGTTCTGAATCCAGATTCTTGCCGCAAGTCTTGAGCAACTGAGCCAGGCATTCCATGTCCTCGCACATTTCCTGCGCACCGGCCGTACGCTTCTTCTTCTTGTCCAGTAGCTCCATGATGCACTGATGCAACACGGTCTTCGACAGCATGTCGAGCTTGTTGAGCTCCCCAATAAATTTAACGTTGCCGAGCATGCGCTGCTTCGCCAGGTGGCGGCGTTCCTCCTCGTCGGCCTCATTTTCTGGCGGTGGTCTGCTGTTGTCGTTCTCGTCACGCTTCAGACGATTGTTAAACTTGTCGCGACACACGGCGATCAGCAGTCGCAGGAAAGTGCAAGAGTTGTTTGGTTCCTTATCAAACGATGGTGCTTCCTCGGACAGGCGCTTGCACAGCTGTGCGTACATAGACGAGTACTTGGGCTCATCCAATGCCTTGTCAAAGATCAGCAAGATCACACCATTCAAAATGACAATCGAATTGAGGTCAAGTTGCAGCAGTTCATCGCTCAGCTCCTGGAATTTCTCGGGCGTTAGCTTGTTCAGTATTCCCCTCACGCGCCGGAACACGGCATCGTTCTTCTCGCTCTGGGTAAGTCCATGCTGTGGACGCAACGATGGTGGTATCCAACGACCAGTAATTGGCGGCGGAGTGTTTGCCTTGTTTCCTCCTGATGCCTGTGATTGCTGTTGCTGCTGTTGTTGCGGTTGGATTTGCTGGTGGTGCTGCTGCTGGTGCTGTTGCTGTTGCGACGACTGTGATTGCTGAGAAGTGGCTGCCGAGTTGGCAGAGTTGTTCAGAGAAATGTTCGAAGAATTGGAAGTGGAAGCTGAAACCTGAGCAGGCGCATTTCCGTTGCGAACGCCTGTAGGACGACTGGAGGCCGAACCACGTTCGTAGCGATCCGTCTCGGCGGCCCTATTGTAGCCAGATCGAGGGCCTGATGCTCCAGAACCTCCAGCACCTCCGTTTCGCTCTTGGCTGTTAGTATTGTTGTATCGTTGATGTGAGGGAGAGTCTTCGTAGCTGTCGCGGTAGTTGTTGGGGTATTCTTCGCGACGGACTCCGCTCACGACTCCATCGTTGCCACCACGCTGATGCCCGTACGACGATGACTTGTTAATTGAGCTCGATGCGGCTCCGTTGTAGTTGGACGAGGAGTTGCCGTTGCCGTAACGCGACTGTTGTCCGTTGCTTCCATTGCCGTTTTCGTAGTTGCGAGAGGAGCGGTAATTACTGCCGCCGCCGCCACCACTTCCGCCGCTTGCTCCGCCAGCAGGACCGCCGGTGGAGTTGGAGTTTATTGATCGATTATAGCTGCCATCGGAGTTGGAGTGATAGTTGCGACTACCACGATGCGCTCCGCCTTGCTGATCACTCGAAGAATATCGTCCAGAGCCGTTGTAGCTACCGTCGGAGCTTCCCAGCGGCTGCTGATGTTGATTGTTGATGCCTTGACCCAAAATGTCACTATTCTTTTGATAGTAACGCGACGACGACGAGTCACCCTGGTAAGATCGTCGAGGTCTTGGGCTCACCTCACTATCGTGTTGACGAATTTTGGCGGAATTTTTACTATAGCCAGTGGAAAAGTGTCCAGTTGGGCCACCAGTTGAACGGCTGCCGTTTCTACCACCCAAACCCTCGTTGCTATTGCTTATGGCTGGGGATACTCCACCGCCACTGCTGCCGCCGGACTTGTAGATAGAACTATTCGAGCCCTTGCGATAGTTGCCACCTCCTTGATTCGATGCGGGTGTTGAGCCCTTGTCGATCTTCACAAGATTCTTAAGATTGTTGAACGTATCTGTCGCTGTGGTAATCGGCAAAAGATTGGGACTGGTGTTGAGCAGGGTTTTCCCGACCGTTGGTGTCGGTGGGGTTTGGCCACCGCAGCTGACGCCTATAACGCCACCGCCTCCGCCGCCACCACGATTGGTAAGCTGATCGTAATTGCGCTCGATCTCGCTGGGGTTCGCCGTTATTACCAGTCTTAAATCGCTGCCGCCGCCGATGCTCGTCGTATCACCGGTGCTGGTGCCTCCCTCAATGGTGATCGTTTTACCGCTCCGAAACTGATCTATGATGACGCCTGCCTGGTGCCCGTTGGTGTGCTCCCAACGTTGCGGACTGTCGTCGTAAGAGTGCAAAAGGGGAGCGGCGTCGTACGTTGATAGAGGAATGGTGATGATTTTTCTAGATCAACTCGGGGCGAAATATAAATTTGCAGCTGTAGACACAGGTGCAAGGAGCGAGCTCTGTCTAGTGTGTGGTCGGTCGTTTGGGGTATCCGCTGCTTGCTGGTTGCTCCTCCTGGTCGGATCTGGCCTGATCCTTCAACACAGAAACGGGAAACACACACACAAATCAAACAACACACACGCGCACGCACACAGAGACAAGGTAGGTAGGTAGGTAGGTTGCGTTGAGACTGGAGTGGAGTGGAGGCGTTCCTTCCGTTCGGTTGGGTTGCTTCTTCGTCTTAAGTCTTCTTCAGCTAAGGCCTGCGTGGTAACTGGGGGATTAGTCGCTCAGTTCCGTTACACTTGGGCTGCCTTGCGTATATGGGAGTCCTGTTTCAAGCAAAGAAAGAATTTGGGAACCAAAATCAAAACAAATTTATAACCGACTTGGGAGACGGGATAGGAAAGACTAAAAAAATCACGTTCTATTGTGACACAAATGTACAGGAAAACTAATCGACAGCTCCCCCATACAGATAATTACAATTATTTTCCCCTAATAACTGTTGCACCTGCATTTGGGAAAACAGTCAATGCAAACTGGAAATACTTAATGGAAATAACCTCGCAAAATTAAATAAATTCAAGTTCATTTCACTGCTTCTGTTGCTTTGTTCTGTTCTCTCACACACTCACTGTCTCTCTCTCTCTCTCTTTAGCACTTGCTCAGCACACAAAGTGATATTAAACGATATTATTGTCTTGTGCTTCTCGTGCACAAATAATTATGAAAAAATCAATATTTTCTAGATGTATCTCATCGACAATATGTTAAACCAACGTGAATTACTTTCGCTCGCTTTGAATCATATGGTGACTCTCTCTACTTCTTTGTTCCAGCTTTCTTTGTTTGCTCTCACGCTCATATCCCACAATGAAAACTGGAAGAATGCGGCCCACGGAGCGAGAGGGATGGGAGATACGAAAAGTAGCCAAATTGCTAGCTAGAAGCTGTGTCTTCCCTCCGCCGATGCGCAAGAACGGCGCACCACAGTGTCAGTGTCCTTTCTTTGTGTGGAGGTTTATGGCCTCTGCTTTGGAGCTCGTTCGGTCGCCTGCTACCTATCTCGCTCGCTCGCTCGATGCTGGTCTTCTGCGCCATCGAATTAAAGTGCCTTGACCCCGAGAAACAAACAGAGTCGCTCCCGCCGATACACATATGTATATATACTAGGCATAGACGAGCGTTGATTAGCGTGTTTAGTCAACGGCAAAGTGGTAAACATTCCCCCATTGCAGACTGCAAAATGAGTCACTCTGTTTATTTAGCTAAATTTTCTTGCCTTGCCTTAATTGATTGAGGTCTATCTATGTAAGGGTGTGTGTATGTATGTCGAAGCAGCTTGAACAACCCTGGCCCTAAGCCTAGTCTCGGGTCTGTTTGTATGTGTATCCATATTCGACTCGCAAGTATTTCGCCTGCAATAATGTCTTCTAAACATCCCCCCAAAAAGTGGACAATGTGAAAATCCACCCCGTGCCAGAGTCACTGCAACGAGGCGTCGACGACCCCGACCCGACCGCGCCTCGGGCCCTCTGCCTCGGCGAAAGACCCAGTTGTGGATGATTTTGACCTCAATTCCAGCGCGTGGCCCCCGTGTACAAGTGTTTGCTTGGTCTGAGAGGTGCATATTAAACCAACCAAATGGCACACCCACATTATAAAACTCTCTTGGCTGTGGGGGCTGTAAGATGGAATATCTCGAATCTTGAAACGATCCCAGAGGCCTTCGCCCCCAACCACTTCCACACTCTAAGGCGCACTCAATTTTTACAATGACGAAAACAAGGCGAACAAAGTGCAACAATACAAACACACATCGCATGCATATGTGTGAGTGTTTGTTCACAGATCTAAGCGAGAAGATAGAGGCGCACACGGAAGACACACAAAGTGAAGCTGGCCGAAGGAAAATCGAAAAACTCAAACTCACCCACCAGGGGTGGCGGGGTCATCCCAAAGGGGGAAGACACTGTTAGAGGCAACGTCAACAGCATTTGAGATTTTCCGATGTACCTCCGCCATTTTGTTGCATGAATATGTGTACATACACACACTCATACACACGACTTTCTTTGTGCTTCTACTTCCGAGTGATTCATTTAGTTTCTTTTATATTTTCGATTCCCTGCAGCCTTATCCTTTTACACATCGAAAAGAATATTGCTTTAATCATTTACTCATTTACTATCTCACTATTATTGATTTCACAGCACGATTTTTTCGCCATGAAGAAACGAGGACGTACTTACGCACGCACAGACACACATGTACATACATACACAAAAAAATCGGTTTTCTCTAAATCATGGAAAATTTTTAGGCTATAATTTGAAACTCACTTTTTCACCAAGTTCACTTTGCGTTTTCGATCAAAATGATGAGGAAAAGCGATGGCCTAGCAACTACTTGTCAAATTAATCTGTACTAACCTTTTTTCAGTAATTTCGATGGCCAACACGCTATGTCAAACCTTCGAGGGCCTTATCGATAGTATCGATAGTTTACTGCTAGTCTCTACTATCGACGGTTTTGCGACTATCATGATAGTATCGAGGTACAGTCGTTGCGCTTTTGATATGTTTGGATTGGCTGCTATAAAATACGAAGACACATTTGTGAGCAAATCGACAGGTGGCATCTAATTTTTGCAATGGACAAGTTCCTAAAAGGTTTCAATGGTTTTTTAATAATTATTTCAGCCCGATACTATCACGATAGTATCGACTGTTTTTTCAAAACTTTCGACGTTGATATTCCTCGATATTGATATTCCGTTTAATATTACCAGCTAGCTGAGACTCTCAGCCCTAAACAAATAATTTTATTCGATAGATACATAAATTTTTTAAGAGATTGGTAAGTTTTCAGAAGTCCTTTTTATTGGATTATTTACATATTAAGGTTCAAAAAAAAACAGCATAAAACGAATTTGTCGTCGTTTTGTGGCGTTGCCAGGCTCGTGCAATTCGTAGTTGCTGCGGGCTGCCATACTGTGATTTTTCGTGATATGAAATTCGTCAATTTTGATATTCAGCTTAATATTACTAGATAGTTGGCCCTCTCAGCCGTAAACAAATAATTTTGTCCGATAGATACATAAATTTTGTTCAGGATTGATTAGTTTTTAGAACTCTTTTTCATTGGATTGTTTACATATTAAGGTTCCAACAAAAACGGCCAAAGCATAAAACTTAAATGTTGACTAAATGTTACGGCAGTTATGCGTATGTACTTTTGTATACCTTATTTCTTTTAATTGGTGTTAAATGTTTTGTTCCAAGCTCCATTGAAACATTGACATGTTTTTTACATATTAATGCACATGTTTGTGTGTTATAAATACATTTATCCCGGTTCTGATACCTATTATTGGTAGTCGTGAGCTGCAAAACTTTGTTAAAATCTTTAGAACAGAGAAGTAGTTTCTGCATTAATTGGAGCCTGAAATTACAAACAATATCTCAAGTCCATAATATCCATTTTCCCAAGGTATGCAGATTGTTGCTCATTCCGTGCCAAAGTTGCACAACAATGCTGCTACTTCCTTTCCCCATGTTGCTTAAAAATACCAGATTGATCTGGTTTAATTTTGGTATATTTTGACGGTTTCGATTTAAATTTAAAAAGAGCTATAGAAGTTTAAAAATATTAATCAGTCATGTACGGCTTCCTCTTTTCTCTCTATCTCTTATCAAATTATCCCTATGCTTTCTTGATTTTAAGTGTCTGTGCATAGTTCCAATAATCGTGTGATCACAAGTGCCGCAGTAGTTAACTTGTTCGGGTTTCTGGAATCTACACGGCTCCGAGCCAACTGATTCCTGTCGCTCGTTGGATTGTTCCAAGGAATTTTTTCTATCCGCTTTGATTGCTTTTGATTTTGCAACATTTCGCTTGTGCTTGATGGTCTGGAAATGCTGATTGATGTCGCCTTTGAGGGTGACGCCACACGGCTCACAGTGTACTGGAACTGATCTTCGGCCTTTGAAAGGCTTCACCTCTAGAGTTTCGCCCCGATCCATCGCAACTTGGGCCAACTGATCCAGGTGCCTCTGGCTCTGGCAGTGACGCTTATAATTGCTCTTATCCTTGATGGTGAGATCACAGACCTCGCAGTGGATTTTCTTCGTCATTAGATGGACCGCTTTCCGGTGGACTTGCATCAAGCCCTGGCTGTAGAAGGCCAATCCACAGATTTCGCACGAAAACTCCCTCCGGTGTAGATGTTTTTTGTTCATGTGCTCCTTTAGAAGGAAGTTGTTGCCCAACTCTTGGGAGCAGATGCTGCAAACCGGCTTGGGTTGCTTTCTGTTCACCTTCGGTGGTCCACGCTGCAGGCGCAGCTTCTCTCGATGCTTCTTAATGGCCTCACGGCACTCTTGGGCAGAGTGAGCGCAGCAACATCGACTCACTGTGGGCATTTGGCATATCAGACATGGCTTCCTTCGCTGATGCAGCCGGGACACATGAGCCCTCAGGGCAGACCATATTTGAAATCTCCAGCGGCAGCTGCGACACTTGAAGGGCCGGTATCGCAGACGACAGGCAATGCGAACTCTTTTCTGATGCTTCAGAAGACAGAGACGGGTACGGAACGACCGCCTACAGGTGGGGCACGACCTGGTGGTGTCCATGGACTGTTCTTGATGACGGCGCATGTGCAACTGATGACTGAAAGGAAAATTATACTCGTGATTACATCGCGGACATTTGCTGAGAGGGCAACGTTTACGTTTCAATGGCCCCACTCTCAGTTCCTTGAAAAAGTCGAGGTGGACGCCCTGGGGTATGGGTATGCTGATAATCATCTCCTGGACCTTAGCAGGCGACTGGTTCAATTCCACTTCCTGTTGCCTTTGGTCCTCCAACAGCTGTTTGTAGGTTTCATTTTCCATAAGTTGTCCGAAGGCGCCGCGCCTCACGTTCCTTTTCATGTGGGAGGAGAGCATGTGTTGAAGGTAGTAGCTCCGATAGCAGATCCGACAGTGCCAGTTGTCGCTCATGTTGTGCACACGCTGATGCGCTTCCACCTGCTGGAGGGTTCGCCAGGGCCATTTCTCACAGTCCAGGCAGCCGCATCGCAGTCCCGGATAGGATGGGGCCACAGCTCTTGGTCGGAGCGCTCCATGTGCCTCGGCCCCACATAGAAGACCTACAGCGCGTCGATAACCAGTTGTAATGGTGTCCATAATCCCCACTAGCTTGCTAAGATCCACCTGCCTCCGTCTCGATGTAAATGCATCACCAATCACCTTATAATCCTCATGAAGATTGGCCTTGTAGAAATTATTTGTCCAGAAATTGTCGCACGTTTGTGCGGATTGTAGCAGCAGCATCATATCCACTGTGCTGAACCGCATCATTTTCTGGACATCACCGGCAATGGAGGGGGACGTAACAGGTTCGCCATTGAAGGCAACGTATTTTTGGCTGAATCCCCGACAACATTTACATTGACAATCACAGGAGCTGGGGCAGGGCGTTGTACTTGTTGCACTTTTGTCATTTGTCAAGGCTGGTAAGCCAGCGGTGAAGTTTTCAAACGTAATTAACAATTTTCCAGGCCAAGACATGTTGCGGCTGCGCAGCTCCGTTTGCGTATTATACTAGTATATACAAATATACAATCGCCGATATATCGGTATTTTAAACCATCGACTGAAGGACTATCGATGGTTTTGCAGCCAAACGCCAATCAGCTGTTACAGTTTCGCGGCATTTTGCAAATTAACGAAACTAAACAAATCAAATGGTTAGCAATAAAAAAGACAAGTATGCTATGCATCCGCGCAATATTCTGCGTGTGCCGCCCGACTACACCAAGCTGGCCATCAAGCACAGGGATTTCAGACAAGTCTGTGAATTGGTAAGTGGCATCTACTTGATACAGCCACAGCCAGCCACAAACAGCAGAATTTTAATGCAAATTCTCTTTAAACAGGAACTAAATGGCAAAGTGTCGGTTAATTTTCGCAATGAAAAGACCTTGCGCGAACTGACGAAGATGCTGCTTAAAGAATATTTTGAATTAAATGTGGATTTTGCACCCGGCAGCTTGGTGCCCACTTTGGCCCTGCGTTTGAACTACGTCCTCTGGCTGGAGGATATGCTGCAGCCGCTCAGCTTAGAGACTGTGAGCGGCATTGATATTGGCAAGTTTTGTACTCATCATTAGCAATGTATTCATTAACAACTTTCCGCAGGTTGTGGCTCCTCTTGCATTTACTCGTTGCTTGGCGCCAAAAAGAACGGCTGGAACATGCTGGCCCTTGAGTCGAAGCAACAAAACATTGACTATGCACGGCAGAATGTCAAGCGAAACAACCTAGAAGACCGTATTGAAGTCTATGCCCAGCCAGATAAGTCCAACATCTTCAAGAGCTATTTCGAGTCGGAGAAACTGAAGAAGGAATTTCACTTTTGCCTGTGTAATCCACCCTTCTTCGACTCAAACTCCCCCAATCCGTTCGGGGGCAATACTCGCAATCCCCAGAGACGGCCAGCGCCCAACAACGTGCGCACAGGCAGCGCCGAGGAGCTGACTTGTGAGGGGGGCGAGGTGCAGTTCGTTCAGCGCATCATTGAGGAGAGCCAGCTTAACCAGCAGCGCGTGCTGTGAGTCAATCTTGATTAGGGATAAGTTGCTTAAATTGAATTTACGTTGACATTTGCAGCATCTTCACCAGCATGCTGGGTGTTAAGGCCAACGTGCCCAAGATACTGGACTACCTGAAGGAACGTCAGATTAGCAACATTACCACCACGGAGTTTCATCAGGGGCACACCACACGCTGGGCTGTAGCCTGGAGCTACCAAGCAACGCCTCTAAGCCCCGGAACACAATGTAATTGAGTTGCTACCAACTAGGAATAAAGTTCAGTTGCAGCAGCTGCACATAAAACTCAACTGTGACCTTCACATGGCCTGGTCTACATATGTTCTTCTACTACTAATGTAAGTCCATTGCCTTTTTGGGCATTTCGTGCCGTCAAAAAGCTTTTCCACTAAATGGAAATTTGCATGTCAATGCTCACTTTACCGCCACCCACACACGAACACACGCTTCGTATAAAGAAATTATCGTTTCGCTTTTTATCACTGACCAAAGTTGACCCAACACCGCGGCAGCCCGGAACTGGACAAACAGAAAGAGCAACAGAAGAGGGAATATGAACACGCACCCACACTCTAGGCGAGTAGCAGGTGCTGGCGTTAGCTTTTCCACACCTTTGGCCCCAGGAATTTGAGTTGTCCAAAGAGCATGGTATGTTCTTGCAAATTGTACTAATCCTACCGGAAATATACTCTAAGCTGTAACGTTTCCATTGCTATAATTATAATCAGTATATTTCGAACGCTCTGTGGGTAATCTTGTGATCGAGAGAGTCTTCTTAATTGAATGGGATTATATCCGAATCCTTTGCTAGAAAGGGCATCCACGTTGCCTTTGCCTTTACTCTACCCATGACCTCTGTTTTCAGTTTGCCTTTGAGAAGCTTTTCATGGCTTTGCTGTTGTTGGCCAATATGTATTGTTGTTGGTGTTGGCTTTTATGGTATTTCAACACGTTAAGGTGAAAAAAAACAACGTAATTAAAATGCATGTCGTAGGGTTTTCAGTTTGAAACGATGGTTTCAGGCTGCGTCATGCGCTGAAGGTGCGCCCAGGGTTTGTTTGTTTTTGTTGCTGTTGTGAATTTTGTAGCTCCGATGGGCGTACTCTAGGTGTACCCTTGCCCTCACACAGCCGAATGGTTGCCATTCATTCTGATTTGGATTGGGGCTTAAGTTACTATGGGTCCCCGTCCCCAGTGAGTGCTCTTTGTAATTTTCTAGCTATTATCTTAATTTCAGAAACCCTACAGCTCACCCACACACAGAAACCTACATACAGTTCGGGACACGTGTTCCTGGGGCTAGGGCTTGCCTCTCCTGCTGTACGTAATTGTTAATTAAAAACGCGGCCAGGTCACGTATTGTGTGTGAATGGGGTAGTCCGTTGGAGGTGGAGGTGTCGAATTACAACCGTAAAACCCCGAAACATTCGGATTTATTGCGGCCAAGTTCCTTGTTCTTTTGGGTCCGAGTCTTTTATTGGCACTCGTTAAATTGTTTAGAAAATAAGTTTATGGGCGACCATAACGCTAAAAAAAATGCCCGCTTGTAAAATTGAGTTTGTAATACATTTTTAATGTATTGGAACATTATTTAGGATATTTTGGGTGAGAGATAAGTGATTGTTGGACTGAAGTCCGGAGAAGTGTTGTGAATTTTGGGTTTGGTTATGTCTTTGATTAACCTATTAAATTTAAGGCTTTCCTTTTCATTTTTAGCATGCGACTGACTCGTGAAGGACCTCTCCAATCTTTGCAAAGTTATCAAAGTTCCAACACCAATCAATTTCCAAAAAATCATCCATCAAGCAAATCAGGAAACGTGCCAAAAAAGGACCATCTAGTCAATGACCAGGCAAATGTATATACATACATATGTATGTATGTATGTATGGACACTGGGGTTGCGTTTCGTTCTCTGGACGTTGATATGCAATGACTGCATACATCCTTTTGTTAGTGTCAGAGACTATGCGTTTCTGCAGCATTGTCTTTAGTTGTACAGCGAATAGTGCAATTATGGCTGGCCATGTGTGCAATAAGCTGATGGAAAATGCGGCTTAAATGCAGGTTCAGGTCTAAGGTCGCTGGGGTGCTGAATGGGGGGGGAACGCTGCATGGTGCTGCTGCCGTGCGATAACAGAACAATATTTTCGACGAGGCGAGTATAAATCGAAATATGATGCTGCTTCCGTGCGTTAACACAGCAAGCTGTTCTTGGAATTTGAGACCTTAATTTCCGAAACATTTTTTTGGTCCATACAAATAAGCGCAATCCTAATGTACTTATGTGTATGTATTTTAAAGTCAACCAAATGGGGCGTAGCTCTTTAAGGGGATAAACCAAGAGTGAGGCGTGGTGGAATATCCTGACGGCACGTAACGAGCTGCCAGACAGCGGCGTCTGTTGCAATTGGCAGCAGGCTGCTGCTTGCTTCTCGTTTGCCCGATGCTCGTCTCCGGCATGTTCGTGCACCTAAATGCATGCCCATTGTCATGTCACATACATATGTGATATGTGTGCGACTGTATATCAGATACATTCACTTAATGCATTGAAAAGCTAGGGGGGGAAAAACGAAACCAAAAGGATACAGGCAGCCAATGCAAATGGCCTGCCCCGGGTCGGTCGATGTCGATTTCGCTGTCTGTGTGGATGGGTACTTCAGTTTCTGCCTCAATTTCTGTGGCGTGTGTGTCATTCATGTAACCTTTCAATAAACATGTGTGTGGGTGTGTGTGTGTGGGGGAGCTATAGTTGTGGAGCTGACTGAAGGAGGTGTGGCAGTCTGCAGTCGTGGCATGCAACGCCCCAGTCGTGTAATTGAACTGGCAATTTCCATGTGTGCTGTGTGTGTGTGTGTCGTCTATGCATAGAGCAGAGAACTCTTGAATGTGATTTTAAAGTCAACATTGAGCACTTCTGACATACGAACTGTCATTTTTTGGTTTGCCGCTTGTCTGCCTGTCTGTCACGCCCCCTCATGCATCCATATGCCCAACCCCATCTGTTATGCCTCCCAGACACAGAGAGATAGCCCTTATCCCCTTAGCCATCTATTGTCTGCTCATATTGCCGGTTAATATTGGCTTGGCATGCAGCCAGAGCGACAGGCGCCGGCTAGCAATTGCATGGGTATGAGAGTATGGGCAATGAATGCTGCTGCCATCCATGCAATATGCAACACTTTTCCTAAAGCCAAACGAATTCGAGGGGAAACTCGCCCTAAATTGAATGGTTTACCATCATTAATTAAATCACACACAACGAATATTTCAGTTCAGCGCCTTTTTGACTCGCACGTCCAGTAGGGCGTATGATTAATTGGCATACCACAGAAACAGTTCACCAAATATCCTATCCGTAAATGTATCGTGTCCCGACTAATTCAATTATCCTTAGCGAGTTTCCGTGTATTCTGCCAAGGGGAAACACACAAATCAGCCCGTCAGATGAACTCGACAACAAATGATGGTGACAAAACGAATTGTTGTATCGCACAGGTTAATGTGTGCAAAATGACATCAGATATGAGGGAAGTACATACATACATAGATAAATGTCAAAGGTCGGAAGTCAAATAAATAATGAGGCAGAAATGTGTCAGGATAGGACAGGACACTGTTGTCAAATAAACAAAGAAGAACAAAGACAAATAATAATCAAAATCTGAAGACAACAGAATCAGAAAATTTTCAAGAGATAAATTAAATAGTTGACAAGATACTCTACTTAGAAATCAGAACAAATACAAACAAAATTATATAATTTCTTAGAATATTTTGCTATTAGCGAGCACCTTAAAATAAACTACATACATACATCTTAAAGTTGAGTCTCTTCAATGTTCATTTTAAATTTATTGTGAGTACTTCTAGTAGACCTGAAAATTGTTGCGGACCGCTGAACTTCAGACTTCGGACAGGAAAAAAAAAATGAAACGGACGTGAAAAACTTTCCAGTTGGCAGACATCCCAGGAGCATACTCGTACAACAACAAAAAAGAAATAAAATATACCCAAAGTCAGCCGGCGGTAAATGAGAGGGTGTTTGAATGGACAGAGCAAAGGGCAGGCATGCCATTCGATGCTGTTTAGGTGTTTAGTGCCAGAGCTCAGGGCAGGACAGGACAGGGCAGCGTGGCGTATACGTAATTTTACACAAAGGCATTGAGAAAAATCGAAAAGCCTGAAATTTCATCTAAAAACAAAGCTATTTATATTCTTTGTGGAGAATAATGACTTGGCATTTGCGCCGGCAAATGATGCGCAAAGTTTTGGGTACCAAGATCTTTCCTCTAGACACTCTGCCAGCCCATCCATCGCTCTTGTCTCGAGTTGTCAGTCATCTTATCAGCACGCCTGCCCCCCCCCCAAAAAAGGGTTTATGTGTCGCACGCGTTTTTGACATCATGGGGAAATGCTTCAAGTCCCCGCAGACCGACAGACAGGGATTGCCAGTCAGTCAAGAACAAGTTGGAATTTGTGGCCCATGCGTTTTCACACCATGTTTTTCGGAGCCTGCCTTGACATGTTTTGGGTGCGCACATTCACGCTTTTCAAGGCTGTCTCCAGTTCTGTGGTAAAGCACGACAGTTGCTGCCGTCTCTTGTTCGGATCGTTGTTGTTGCTGCCTCTTATCTGAGTGCAACTACTCGTGCAGCAGAGCACAAGAGAGCCGCAGCTGTTTCCTGGCTCTTCACACTTAATTGCTGGCCTTTCTGTCTAGGCTCTTGCTTTAGATAGTTAAGGAAGATTAAACGAAAATTTGAAGAAGATTACCACAAGTTTTCCCAAGTGCTTTCTACTTGATATGCTTTGAAATCTGAGAAATTTTAAAGCATTTACCACACCCATTTTTTCTATAAGTTTCAGCTTAAATCAGCTTTAAATCAACCTTTTAACCATTTTTATTATTTTTAATGTATATATAGAGATTAATTTTCATTATTTTTTCATTTTTTGTGTTTGTGTCATTACATATATTTTTCACTTTAAAAAATGCAGCTGTAATTGGCAAATATTTCCATTTCCATACAGGGTGTTCTCCGCTGAATTTCGAATTAAATTTTGTGCCGCATTTAATATGTAAAAGAACATTTGCATATGTGGGCTAACCTGGGCTCCATTTTTGATTAAAAATACGCATGAAGGTTACATATGTATTATATTTACATACGAGTGTGCTCGTCGGCCTCCACTTCAACTAGCCGGAACGCACTTTCCTTAATGGCCACGGCACCCTGTGTGCTTAGAGCAGCCATAAAGGAGGCCTGGGATAGGGAAAAAGATAGGGAGATAGGGATAAGGATGGACAGAATAGGGAAGTAGATAGAGAGGAATGGAACGAAACCAACCACAATACAGGCTTACCAATTCATTTGCTAGTGCCTCAGAAACCCTCAGACCGACGGAACAGACAGACTGAAAGTCAGCATTTCTGTGCAAGATTCGAGTCGAAGAGCCAACTTCCTAAAAGCCGAAACAGGCGCAGCCAAAAATAAACACACGCCAAGCCAGAGAAGAGGAAAGAAGATAGCTAGTGGCAGCTGAGAAACAGCAGCAGAGGAAGGAGAGGGAGAGGCAGATAGAGGGAAAACAGTTAGTTTTATGAATTGCTTTCTGGCCAAATGAGAAGCCAAGAAGCAACACAAGAACGCATTCATTGATATCTTTATGGATGAGGTCTCCCCTTTTGTAGTATTGTATTTTATTTGCCATGGTCCGGGTCCGGGTTCTTCCTTCAACCATTCACGGCTTTTCACGGCTGGCCACACGGCTGGCTGCACGTAACTGTCTGTGTGTTGCCGGAGTGGCATTGGGAGTGGGTGTGGGAGTGGGAGTGTGACCGTAGCTTCTGCCATGATGATGATGCCATTGCCTTTGACAATGCCCCGGCTGCTGCGGATTCTGTTGCTGCCGCAACGGATTTTGTGGCCCACTCTTAGGGTGCTGTGTGTGTGTATCTGTGTGCCTCTGTCGACTGTCGGCTTTGGCGGTCGGTTTGTTTATTTGCGAAAAAGTTTTGCAGCCAAAGCAGCAGTCAGAGCAGCAGTGCTCTCTCTTTTGCTCACTCGCCTGCTCTCAGATTTGGTAATTTTGTAGCCTGCACAGTGGTTGAATGTAAGAAGAAAACTGAAGTTTTTCGAACAGTCTACAGCAGGAACAAAGAGACATCCATTTATACATATGTATTAAATAGACAGTCAGTCTCTCGTATGCGCGATAATTGGAAATCCGTACGTAAAGCCAGCGACTCTATTTGTATAAGCTTTGCCCACTGTGGCCCCACTGTCTGAGAGAGAGAGAGAGCACTGTGAGAGCTCTCTCGGGCACGCTCTCTCTCTCGCCTGGTTTTGAGTGTCGTTGACTGCCGCAAAGCGTTTGTTGAGCTCGGAGTTGCTGCTGCTCCTGCAGGATGGCGGGCATTCAGGGTCCTGGCCATTCTTAGTGTTGACGCGTCGCTGGGCTTTGTCAGTTGTGCCTGAGCTTGTGCCAGAGACAGTCAGTGAGTCAGTCAGCGAGTCTGTGAGCGAGTCTGGTTTCCGTTTCCGTTTAGCAAGTCCCTGGCTGGTAATCTGTGGTTGTGTACCTTTTTCTAACTGCTTTTATAGACATTCAAAATATTGAAAATAAATTTGAAAAAATCCACGCCATATTTTTCTAACAATTTTATGCAAAAAGGTTTCTACTCGTGAGCTGATTGCCCAAATAAATACAAAAAATAAATAAATACAAACAACAAGTATAGCTTATAAACTTGTGTGTGTGTGTGCGACTGTGTATGTGTGTGTGTGTGTGAGTGTGTGCGCGCTTGTGTGAGCAATTGATTAAACAAAAGGCAATTGGTAACCTAGGCCAACTGGAATTATAGAGACCACCCCACCAATACAAGTGACTTAAAATCAAATCAAATATAATGGGCTGCAACACCAGCCAGGAGCTGAAGACGAAGGATGGCGCCGCCATCGACGCGGTCAGCAATGGGGAGCCGGAGCCGAGTGCTCCGCAAATGGAGAACGTAGGTCTCCAGTCCTCCGCAAAGTCCTCAAACAATCATACAAATCACGCCAAATCAAATTCAATTACCTCCAATGGTGATGCCAAGGCGCCGAACGTCGGCGGCAGTGGTGGAGGCGGAGGCGCCTCATCCGAAGCAACAAATGGCATTGATCGTCCATTCGATAAGGCGGCAATCACGGAACTCGATGACGTCGACGACGAGGACGAAGGTAAGGCTGGGGCGCTTTCAACTTCCTGAACTAATCCTTAATACGCCATACATTTGTACATTCATAACTAAATCTATTCAACATCCTCTCTTTGTGTGTATGTGTGTGTGTGTCTGTGTACTGTGCGCTGTGTATGTGTGTGTGTGTGTGTGTGTGGGAGAATTTAACGTAATCCCTTGTCCATGGGATTCATTATTATTTATTAGATCAACATGCTGTGAGCACTTCTTTAACCCAGTTGCTCGCACTTACCCCCACGCCGCTCTGTGCTTAATGGTGTCGCAAATATAAATTGTTGCCCTATACACGCATATACATATACATGTACATATATACCTATCTATAAATATAGATTACACTGCACTCCATTACACTTCACTACATCCGCAAGAATTTGATGTGACCATGGCAAATTTGTGTAAGATTCTTAACTTAGTTAAGTAGGCAGCCACGTTGATGGCCGCTGTTTGCCTTGAGGCGAGGCTCGGCCAGAGGCCAAGATTTTCCTAATGCACATTATCGCAGTTCATGTTCCCGTTTATGTTATCTAATAATCGTAGCCCGAATATAATTTTATGGCTGGGCGATATACGATATACGCAACATCACAATACAAATTCCATTGCGTTCTTTTTGGGGCGCAATTCGTGATTATGACTTACATACATTCGTATGTGTGTATGTATGTATGTGAGAGTAATGTGACGATGTCGTTTATTCGGTTGCGAAGAAAAGCTTTTAATGCGGTCTGCGTGGAAAACACAGAGAGAATAAGGTGAAGCATAATATAATATAAAATAATGAGCATACGTTAACATAAGTGGATCTTGTTTAGCAGACATCCGACAGGGAATTCTCTGGCAGTAATTGAATTTACTATACGTTTATGGAAATGTGGTTATTACTCTCTCTTAAGAAAACAGTAATTTCAAATGTAATATTTTTATTTATTTTAAGTTTTACTCATTTAAAAATAACCCAGAATAAGTTCAGAAACTTTTTTTCTCGCTTCACAAGAGTCAAAAGTTCAGTTTAGTTAGGGCCATTTGCAAAGCTCGAAACGAGAGAGACTGAACCGCGAAATTTCATTTTTCCTTTTTCATAAGTTTTTTGCGGTTATTTGCTTTTTGTTGATAGAACGAAAATTGTATGAACAAGCGACGATGCCGAGCTGAGAGCGCACAGCATTTCCACGGAATGACTCATAAATTACCGTAACGTGGTTTCCCCTGTGGCAGGTGCAGTCCTGCCCTTGCCAGAGCCAGTCGCAGTGGCAGCAGCAGAGCGGAGAGGTTTATTTAGCTGCCATTTCCGCACCGCTAACTGCTCATGCCCCTTGTTTTGGTCCCCAGTTGCCCGGGGGTGGTGCTGATAAATTGTTTAGCGACACTTTATCAATGGTGGTTCGGGTTGGGTTTTGTTGCGGGAAAAAGTGCAAAGTTACCCAGAAACTTCCGCCCTCTTAATGCCACAAATTATGATTATTGCTTGGCAATTTTCCTGCTGCTGCTCCAGCTTTCCCTGCCAGTATTTTTGTTGGTTCGGATGTTCCTTTTAATTTGGCAAAATACATTTTGTATACATGCGTTGGCGTATTTTAATTCCCTACGCAGAAACAATTTTCTTTCGCAGCTGAGAAAGTTCATGGTAATGTTAAAAAGGAGTTCCCACCCAAGTTGCCCCGGCTAATTAGTACTTGATGAATACTTTTGATGTTGCAAAGGTGGAAGCAATCTCAAGGAAGATTCCATGGAAAATAATGTACGCAAATTTGCGGAAAGTTTTCGAGACATTTCTGTGGGCTCTCGTGCTGCCTACAGTTGAACAACTTCTTGAGAATTTACCATTTCTTGAGTGGTTTTCTATAAATATTTACCAGACATTCCCATTTCTCTGTGCCCTTGGGATTGAGCTTACTATAAGCACTAAACTTTTGAGATCTCTCTCTGCAACGTTTTGATATGCCGCCGCAGTGGCATAAAAGGGAGCAGAACAGCAGGAGAACACACAAAACATAAAAACGAACTAAAGAAAATCGGGGCGTAACCCAAATCAACCATAAAACAGCCTCCACTTTTTGGGCAAACAAAAAATGTATTTCATATTACAAACACGTAGGCTGCTCTCCACTCCACTCTACTCTCCAGTCCTCCCCACCATTCCCGCCATTTTACGAGTTTTCCTTTTAGCTGCAACTGAAAATAAATTGAAAACATAAATCCGCAAATGGCCGAGCCGAGCGCTGAGTTAGCTCAACTCGGATTTTTTGTAGCCTGTCAACTAATTAGGAAATGCTGATGACGTTGTTAATTTCCTATCTTTATGGACTCGCTGAACGACGGGGAACCACGCCCAGGCGCAATTACCTGACAATTGAGGATAGGCCCGGCAGGATACGAGTATAAATTACGAATAAAGATATCAGAACATGCGTGGGCGACCTACGCCCAAATAAACAGGGCAGGAGTGGAGATGGTTAGAACATGCTAAGCTCTCGAAAGCCGCTTTCAGCCGCCTCCGCCTAATGTGAAATGCAAATAAGTCCCAGCCAGTCTCTTTGCTTCGCCTTGCCTATTGTTGTTGCCCCTCTAGACAGGCAATTAAATCATACAGGCAGACGTAGCCGGGTCGTGTGAATGAGAGGCAATTGAGACAAAGAGATGCTCTGCAGGGAAAGTGGAAAGTTGCTGTTGCGCCATCTCGACAGAAAGGGAATCATTTAGGTAAATAGGTGCCTTCAACCAAGATTACTACACATAGAAATAATATCCTTTATTATGGGAGTCAGTCAGCTGTTACTGGCGGTAAATTACACGTAGTTTTGTAACCATTTCCATATGCTTTGCCATCCTCTTACTATTACCCCATTTAAGTTAATCAAGAGCAGATTTCATACAAAGAACAGAAATGTCACTGGCATTTGCATAATTTTAATTAAATTTTTGCCTAGTCTTGAGCCAATTTGAAAGCGTTTTCAATTACAAAATGGAACTTTATAAGGCGTGTCCCTCTCCCATTCTGCTTTCATGATGCCACCAGCACAACTTGTTTGCTGTGGGGAATGTCTGGCTAATGTTGAACTAATTAAGAGTAAATGTTGAACTAATTGAGAGTAAATACGTTGTTCTACTTGCCACCGACAGGAGTCAATTTGATTTATTGAAAATGAAATGATTTCCACCTGATATACGCACACTGTTTGCTTTGGCTTTTCTTCTGAGGGTGTGGTCAAAGCCGTATTTGTTGCGTCGTCGCCCCAACGCCCGTCTGGGCCTCTGTAGAGGGGGTCTGGCGTGTCGTGTCGTGTCTTGTCTTGTGTTGTCGTGTCGCTGTCCGTGTTGATGATGTGCGTGGCTTTTGTCAGTGTAATTAGCGCAATTCCCGCTCTGAGGTGTGCCTCTGCGATGAGCTGTTTGTTTAGAATGTGGATGGTTAGATGGGGAAGGGTAATTCGATTCTAGGCAATTCCCAGTTTCTTTCAACTGCGCTGATAAAGTCATAGAACGGAAAATCATTGGCTATAAAGTATTTTCACACCAACACACAAACACATAGAAGGAAAAGACATTAAATTTAACAAGTCAAAAACATTAAAATTCAAATTTAGCAGAACGTTCACAGCCCATTTGGTTCGCCGTGCCACACAGGAAGCTATATCAATAACACGTATACGCCACGTCGGTCCCAACGCATTAATATCAATTTTCGGCATAGGAGAGGAGGATTGGTCTGGTCTAAAAATACTTTTCCGTTGGCAATGGCCTTGCCCACAAATGTGAGAAAAAAGGAAGGGAGAGGTGCGGCATTTATACACGAACTAAATGCATAAAAAAGTGGACACTCGGGTCGCATTAAAGTGCCGGCCAAAGCTAAACGTCCCAGATGCGTGCCCGAATATTATTTAATATATTTTGTCTGACTTCAGAGTGAAGAATGTCGGCGCCACTGCTGACATTATGCATACCACTGTGCGTGAGGGCTAGGGACAGCGACAGCGACCATTAATGCCACATCTGTATTTGTGTGTCTGTGTGTCTCTGTGTCCGTGCCCGTGCGACTAATGTCTGTGCAGAGGCTCTGATAAAATGCCTTTTAAACAGACGCGCAAAGAATTTCCTAAGCTCTGCAATTTGCGGCACCCCACCAAAGGAAATGATAAATTGAGATTTACTGGCGCTTCACCACAGCGAACATTTCCCATTCTATCCCAAAACGATGCTGCTCGGTTCAGGTTTACTCGTTATTACTCGTATTGTCATTGCTCTGCTTGGGTTAAAGTATTTCCGCAGCGACTGTTGATGCTGCCTTTTGGGATTTCCGTGGCGCTCCTCTTATTTTTTGTGTGTGCGTTCCCTGAATGGATTTCGCTTATTGGGTTGAAACGGATTTGCGGATTAATGGCACTCGTATTTCCTATACTTGTCCTTGGACTCGATTTGAATTGTTTTGATTTACTTGTGCGCCTTAACCTGCTGGCCGTCGTATTTATTTCTCTACGTCTTTATTTTGTCCCGTTTGTATTTCTTTTTTCTATTTCTTAAACAAATTTGTAACTAACTTTTTCCCTTTCTGGCCTTTGGTTTTCTTACTTTTCATTTTCTTGGGCCAGCAATTTCTCATACCTCTATCGTAATCCATTTTCAGCATCTTCTCTTCGAACTGAAATGAGCGGAATTCCAGAGGTTTTCTTGGGCAGAAGGACTTCCTGAATTTGCTTACTCCGGCTCTTGGGATTCGCTTATAAATTTATTATGGAGCAATTGATATGCCCCACATTATTTATGATGCCTATCAGTACAGTCTGACACATCTCCGAGCTCTCTCTTACGTCGCCCCGCTTTTGTCTGGCATTTGTCACTTGACGCAAATATATGCGCATAAAATTTGTATTCATACAGATACAGATACGAGCACACATATCTGGGATATTTGCCAGTCAGGGGAATACTTTTGGGCCGTGAATAATTAGCTGCGATTATTCTAGATCGGTTTAACAATAGTGTGCCGCCAAATGAAATATTTATAAGCAAATTCGTTTTGGAAACTAAATAAGAGGCAGTAAATATAATGTTGTGTAGTTGGTCTACTTATGTACATGCAACATAATGCTGAGTCATTAGGGCACCGCATTAATTTTTCATATCGGCTATCAATTGATAAGGCTTTGATTACTTTGCCCTCTCGTACCCTGGTAATAATTTTACTGTCAATTGAGGCCAAGGTTTCCCAAAATAGACTCGAATTTCTCATTATTAATAACTTTCTCAGTAGCAAAACTAGTTCCAACCCTAAGGAAAAGTTCAGCATAACCCGAAAACCAATTTCAAGCACGCAGCAGACAATGAAGAGCTTTTCAAACTGAAAATAGTTTCTGTGTCTGGTGTGCTCTACTTATGTGGCGGGCGCACAGTATACGAGTGTGTGTGTGTGTGTGTCGTCGTCCTAATCAAGAGCACACAACATAAAGGCTAATTGCACAAAGCCAATGTCATATAGCCAATGCCTCATTCTACATCCAACGACCCAATAAAGTGGCCCAGAGCAGCCAAACTGGCGACTAATGAAGTGCCATCCATTGTTATGCTCAAAGATGATAATGGATATTACACATATACTCGTGTATACTCGTACATACAAGTGTGTATACGTATTATACAAAATTTAATTAAAAACTGTGTGCTCAGTACTTAACAACGTTGGGACAAGTGAGGCGAGCGGTAATTGGGGGAGGTTGAATGCTACGTATACGTCATGTTTGAACAGTATTGGCAGCTGAGCTGTTGCTTCCGCTGCCGCTTGCTCCGTACACAACAGGAAGACAGAAACAAAAAAGAACCAAGTCAAAACACGGAGACCCACTCCCACACCTCCTCCATCAAGTTTTCTTGACAAACAAAGCGGAAATTGATTGTATTACGAGCAGCAGCAGCAGCGGCAGCAGCAGAAACAACAACCATAGCCACAGTATATGCTGGGTTGCCCTCGTGCCCCATGAAGGGGCAATCGAGCATACAACACCAATACAGCGGAATGTTATGTTTTGCGACACCCGTACAATAAACTTGGCGCCGCCTTAACCCTCTTTCCGAGTGTCTTAACATTCCTTCTAGGCCTTTGAGAGCGGGATGTATCCATTGAGTCTACTTTCTGCCTGGCTACATTCGAAGTAACCAAATTTGGAACATAAACTTTGATAGGCTTTGGTTACCCCCGAATGCCTGTCTATAAGAATTCAATGGGTGAGGGTAACAAATTGTCGAACTTCGGACTTTTCAATTTGATTCTAAACAGCGTCTGTAAACTGGGAGAAACTTTTGATACCCAATACCCAATGGGCTGAAAAGTAGAGTTTCCTGGCTGACTAAGAATTCATGATTTCTTTATACCAGCATCCACTTTTTGTATTAATTATGGATTTTCTTTTGTTAGTATTTCTCAAAGTTTTCTCTTTCAGTGTACTCTTTATGCATTGCTGAATTTTTAATTATCTGGCTCTTTGTCTTGTCTGCACTTTCTACTTTTCTATCATTGTATTACTGCTTAATCTCTCTCTCTCCTAACTTTTCCCTGATCTCGCTCCTATGAAATTGTGTTGTCCTGCCGCTTTGCTCAAGGTATTAGGGTAGCAAAAGGTCGAACCATGCTTCAGTTTCTTTTCCCACTTTCTGTTCGGACTAGAAGCCTTTTCATTTTGTCTTCTTTTCATTGTGCATACCACATTCCTTATGCAATTACGTTGATTATGTTTTTGTTATATGGAAAATTTTGCTATAATTGTGCGCCCAAAAGAAGCCAGAAGGCAGAAACTTTTCTACTGTTCGTTTTTGAGGCTGATTAAAAGTTTTCGGCGAAACAAGTTGGGGCAGGCCGACGTCTGTGCGATGTCTAACTTTTAGCAGACTTTACACAGTCTTTCGTTTGTGTTTTAGTGTGTGTGTGCCTGTTGTGTGTGTGTGTGTATATATGAGTGTGCTTGGGCCTTGTCATTGGCAGCTTGGCTCAAAATGCTTTTATGTTTTTGACTGGCGGCTAGCACAAGGAAATGGATATGGTTGGGGCCCAAGCTAATTCCATAATGAAATTTCAGAAGCCTGGCCGCAGGCAAACTAATTCGTACATATAAACATATAATCGATACTGTTTCGAAATGTATTGAGCCAGACGATGAGGGAAGAACCAACAAAATTGTTTGGCAAATGAATGGAGAAACTCGGAAAGTTAAACCTTTTCCAAAGAGTTTATCTACCATTATCCTATCATAATCCATTTTTGTTGTACGAGAAATTGCACTATCAAGAGAAGATTAGACGAAAAGTTAAGTTTTTCAATTTGCATATTTGTTTTCCTTTTGTTCCATGAGAATCGAAGGAATATGCCACTCATGCCTTCCCTTTCCAAACCTTTTATGTAGACAATAGGAATTTCATATTTCATAACAAAAAACTTTATTATTCAGTTAGTCTATCCACTTGTCAGGTATTCAAACTTTTGTTTTTTGATACTTTTAGGCACACTTGGCTCAAGCGCAACTTGGGAAGCTCCACTTCAGAATTTCTTTATTACATAACTTCACCAGAGCCGTGCACTTCACATCCCAGACATTCATATACGAAGAAGCCAAATGGCAGACTTGACTTCCGATTTTATTGCTCCATTGTGCCTTTTTTCGCACTATTTGTAGCATTGGAAGCCAGTGAAACTTTTCGCTCTCCCCAAGGACTCGCACTTTATTGCTATTTATATGACTAAAAAGTTTTGTGTGCGAGAAATTAGCTGAAAATTTATGATATTGCTGAAGCGCTGCGCTGATGAGTTGGATGCCTGGGGAAGGGCCCTTCAGATAAGAGGTGCTGGGAGAGGGGTCAGGCAGGGCTGGGGAGTGCGTGTTTGGAACAAATTGAGTGGTATAAGCAAATATTGCGTATACGCCGCTTATTCATTTATAACATTTATGATTGCGTGTGTCTAGTCAATGTGCGCTTGTGAATGTGAATGTGCAACTGTTGTCGACTTTCACTGTGCCTAAATACACATTTAATTCACCTACTTCATTAAACTATTCAAGCTCGCCCTCACTCTTTTGCTCTCTGAATGCATACGACTTACATAAACAACAACAACAAAATTATATATATATATATTGTATTGTATATGAAAAGATAATAATTTTCCATATTATTGATGGTCCTTTTAATGGTTTCTCTTCTGTATTTATCTCTACTCACATATAAATTTGATAAATGATTGCAACAAAACAAAAACTATTAATAAACGAAAACCAAACCGACGCAGAACCGGAGGTGGAGATACTCATACCACATCACCACCATCACCATGGCAGCAAGAAATTCCATCGAAATCCGTTGAAAAATTTGGATCTCGATTTTAAATTCGATGTTAATTCGTTTTAGCCAACAACCAGTCCGTCAACCGGTGTGTGTGATTAGCCCTAGATTCTCGCTGTTGTGGCTAGAGCTTTTCCTGGCGATAGCAGCAACCAGCAAGTGAAAATACAACCAATATTTGTCTTAGCTAGAGAGCACGTGCTGTTAATTCTACATGTGTCTGTGTGGTAGTGTGTTTATTACTGTTCTCGATGTTGCAGTTGTTGATGTTTCCCGTTAATACTAACCAAAAGAAAAAAGTGTTCAACTCTTTGTTAAAGTAGCCAACGTATAGGATCATTTCTTTGCACGTTTTGTACACCTTTGCCTTAGCTTTTCCAACTCTGAACTATATCAAATTAAAGATTTAAATATATTTAATTGGCATGTTTTCTGTCTTCTAAATAATTACCAAAAACGGGTTGTAAAAACCTATCTGTGAAATTCAAAATTTAACTTTTAGCTGGCAACACTTTGCCAAAGCGCGAAAGCTTCAGTGAAAGCTCTCTCACTCTCTTACACTCTCTCTGTGCTGAGTTAAATACTAACCAAAGCTTGCCTTGCTATTCCTTCCTTGTATGTATGTATCCGTATCTATAAAATCCCTTTATTACACAACCGTTATTAACCGTTATTTGTGTGTTCAGCGTGTGTTTGTTTCCGTTGTGTTCTTAGCCCTTATGTTAACTGATTTGCATTTGATTTATTTAATTGCAGGTAACTATTGGCATTTAACATTTTACCAAAATCAGCATTCAATTTCTAATAATAAAAATAACAACAACAGGTATTTATGGCATCAATTTTTGCATTCAAATAAATACTGGGAACATTCTGTAAAAGCTTTGCAAAGCTTACAGGAACTTATTTCTGGGGGAAAGCTATTCGAATAGCTTGAAGAACGTCACTCAAAGTGTTCCAAGTAAATTCCCACTCGTTCCATCAACGAGACCTACTTTCGGCCGGGTTTCCGCCACGTTCTCAGTCAATGGCAGTTAACATTGTCACGAAGCGTACTAACAGAGCCAGACGATATACGTTTTTAACCAAATTCACAGGGCCAAACGAGGCCAGTTTCACAAATCCAGCGAAGCGTTCGGTTCAATAGGTTCCCTTCGGAAAACCCCATAACTCCCAGAAAAGGAAAGTGCGCGCCATTAAGAATATTTCAAAGATTTTAAAGTAAGGCGAACCAATAGTTTGCCCAAGTTTTGTGCTGAGCATTCCCAAAGGAGAGCAAGAGGTAATTCATTCTGTGGCGGTTCAGTAGTTCTATAGTAAAAACATATATTTTAAAATCTATTTTTAAGTTAAGTTAAGTTGAAATTTGAATTTAACTGTAACTGTAGACCACTTACTGCGGCTGGAATGTCCGTTGTTTCGGTTTACGATTCGCAGGTGTGTTGCCAGGGCCATAAAAATCTGGGACATATTTCGATAGTGCTCGTAAAACAAGTATTTACCCGCATCCAGTGTACATCCAGCCCGGAACATCTTAGTTGCTGATGTCCTGGTGACGTCCACACCATTGCTTGCCTGCTTCCTCCGTGCCTGCCCATGAATAAATAAGACTTTTGTGTGTGTTCCCCTTCCCCTTCCGCATCACCATCCTTCAGCCCCGCTCGGCCCCTAGTTTGAACATAAAAATAACATCAAATCTGCTCGGATTTGCCATTTTTTTTTCCTCTTCCGCTGTGTAGTTTGTTTTTGAAGTGTCATTCTCGTAGGCTGCCAGGAGGCGGAGGCGGAGGCAGAGGACTGGTAACGACTTAGTTTGATATTGATTCGGTATTTTCAACTTTATCACAGACATTTGCATCTAATCAGCTTAAAATTGACGCCGCAAGACTGGCATATTTGATTTTATTATAATGTACATCTATATCTACATAGAACGGCAATTAAAAGTTTCTCCATTACATTGTATATTTATTTATTTAGATTTTTCACTGTACTCGTACCAAATGTACTCGCACTCTGACCTTATTCGCCTTCTCTCTCCCTCTCTCTTTCTGTGGTGCTGAACCTTAATGATTAAGTGTTGATACAGTGCCATGAGCTTTTCGTTTGAAATTTCGTTTTTTTTGTTGCGGAGCCATTTTATTTCTTGGAGCATCCAATTTAATTAAGTGGCATTAAATAGGCGCCAGGGTCTGAGCCAGAAGGGATCAAGCGAAGAGCAAATGGAAGTGAGAGGGGAAAAAGAAGAGAAGAGATTGGTTGTAGGCTGGAAAATATGGAAACAAATCTGGGAATTACAGTAAGGCCATACAATCAAGGTTGTAAATGGTTTGGGTAAATTTTGATTATAAGAAAACTCGAAATACATTAAACTTTTTGAAAATATTCAACTTTTGCAGTTACCAATATATTATTAAGAAATGAGCAAAGTTCCACTCCTTCTTCAAGTTTGCTTTAATCATTTTGTTCTATAAAATTGTTTAATTTTGAAATTTTTCGCGTTCTCACACCATCTCTATGAGTTGACACCGAAAATAATGAAAAAATACGCACTCCCCTCATTTGCTAAAACTTACCGTAAGTTATCCAAAGCATTTGGCTCCCTCTTGTGTACCAGCTGTCCAAAATATTTGCAAAGAATTTAATTAACGCCCCCAAACAAACAAAAAAAATGAAATTTGTATCAAAGAGCTGGCGACAAAGAAGAAATTAAATATTCAATATCAGAGCAGCGGCAGCCACGGTACAAAATATTCTGTGTTAAAGTTTGATATCCCCGGAGCGCTCCCTGCTTAGTGCAAACAAACATGCCACATGCCACATGCAACACGAGCCACGAGCCATGAGGCGAAACAAAACTAAACTAAACAAAGCAAAAGAGAGCCAACATGAACGGGCGCAGGAGCGGAACTAAGGACTCTGCGAATGACACATGACCTACAACGTTCTGTTATTTTGGCTCCCGTTTTTTGGCCTCACTTTTTATTGTTTGGTGAAATATTTTTATGACTGGCTTTACGTGAGCTTCAGAGCTTCCAGGGGCGCAGGCAATCGGCCTGCCACTGGAGGATTCATTCGTCTTGCCTTGTCTCCACTTCCACTTCCACTTGCACTTCTTTCTGGCCAATCAATCACTGGCGAGCTCCGCTTAGCGTATAATTCGAAAGAATAAATAAATAAACGAGAGTGAAAATATTTAGCAGAGTTATGCAAATCCAGACACGCCAAAAATTGTTCCGAAATTAAATGAATTTGATGAATTGCCACACATGAACGGGGGGAAACAATAATACGAGTAAATAGTATATGGGAAACAAGAAAGAACAAAAATTTGTTTCTTTTAGAGCCGAAGATTAAAATACCCTGCCAGATTGATCGATAAAAAAAAGAGTTAATTTCCAAAAGAATTAATGGCCATTGCCATTGAACCATTCCCCTTAAGATAGTTCTTTATTTTACTAGTTTGATCTTGAAACTTCCAACAGGGATAGCGATTGAAATAGGGATTCAATGATCCGAAAGCAATGCGGATAGACAGATAGACAGGCACCAAGACAATGTGGCCTGACATGCTCTCTGGCTTTAAGGGACTCCTACTTGATGTCAGAAGTCACTGTTAGCTTCACTGGCTTGTTATTAATATTAATGGATTTATTCAAGCTTCGCTGGCATTTCTACTCCAATCATGAGTTGGCAACATTGTCACAATTATTTGGAGTACTTTTCCAAGCCCTGTTTGTGGTGTGTTATCTTGCCACATGACTGCCCAATATTCCCCACAATGATGTTACCGAAAGCAACGTAAATGTGTATGATAATCCCCTGTAACAATTGTGTTACCCCTGCAGGCTTACACAACTTTAATTTGTTATAATCCTCGGGCCTTGAGGCAGCCCACAAAGCCAAGCCAAAGCTGACTCTCAAGCATTTTAAAACATGAGGTTCGAGAATATACATACATACACGAACACATACAGAGTTATCAATTTCACAAAAGAAATCATTCAGGCGCATAACAACAAAACAGAGGCAAAGAATGGGGGTCCCCATCATGAATGTCCTCCTGGCAGTATTTCATATTGTATCCGAGTACGAGAATGTTCCGCCTGCCTCCCACTGTTTATCCAAATGTCAAGTGACACACAAAACCCTAAAGCTTGCCCCTGTCCCGCCCCTCTCTATACCGATACATATATGTATATTGGATATATCCTAACAAATTGGAAACGTGTTGTGCGTCGTCTGATGGCTCTGAGCTTGACTTTTGTGCTGCGCATTCCGTTTGCTATAATTCAATTTCAAACAAGCACTCTGGCGGCAGAAAGGGGGGACATCATATCTGTGTGTCATATCATGCCTCACTTGCGCTCTGTGGCCACAAATGCTTTTCAAGTCTGTCAAAGTATGCTGCAAAAGTTTTCTCCTGATGTGACAGATTTGCTACGACATTCTGTGGCACTGCCTCTTCCCATTTCTTCCGCTGGCCGGCCTCTCATGCCGCATAATTAATGCCAATGACAAACAGTTACTTGCCTCCAGCTGAAACAGCTACCAGTCGTCGTTGTTTGTTCTTCAATCGGGCCGTGAAATTGTGCCACTCCATGAACAGTTTTGGGGCCGCGTTGCTCATCCGCCACGTTGCTGGGCCAACTTTCGAGGGAATTCTCCGAGGAGTGGGGGGCTGCACTCGTGTTGACTTTGCATCTCGAATGGCTAACGGCAAGCCCCTGGCTTTCACAATGTGTACACATTGACACAAACTTGACTTGGGTTTCGCTCGTCTGTGGAGGTGAGATAAACTTGCCCCGAACAGATTTTTGATGGCAAGCTCCATTGGACAGAAAGCAACAACACCATAACCTTTTCCCCTCAAACAATCGGCTCTCGCCTAAAGTTCAATTCTATTTTAATCTGGTTTTCACCATTTTCCCCAACAGCCAGCTGCTTGCCATGTGGCCAAGCGGGGTTTCTATTAATAAAGGAGACAAAGGCCTCCTGCTGGGGCTGGCACTGGACCTGACCCACTTGCCACTGCCCGCCACCTCTGGCTAAGTGGCCTGCAATTTAGTGCCGCACTTTTGACAGCACGCATCGGCACTGGCACTAGCCATTTGTCTAGCCCTGCGACACCGTATTCAATTAAATATTGAAAGACGTGGTCAATAAATTACGTGGCCCAACACGAACACCGAACACGAACGCTAAATGGAATACCAAACCAGAGTCAGAGTCAGAGCCAGAGCCAGATCCAAAACCAGAGCCAGAATCTGTCCAGGCTAGGACCAGTTCAGCCAGAGCCTGTCCGGCGGCAAGGTGAATTATTCAGGGCATGCTCATAAATATAACCCACATTAGGGCCAAATCGCTATAGATCTACAAATTGCCTAAATATTTAATGGCCATGGGGCGGAGCTGGCGAACGAGAACTTTTAACAAGCGCAGGGTAGAGCGGTGGGGGGATAGTCATCAGTACGGGGTAGCCTGAAAAGATTTATACGCCTCGTTGACAGGGCCCAAAACGCACGTGTTATGGCTTTGGTTTTGCGTGGGCCTGGGCCTGGTTTTGGGGCGATCGGGTAGGCTCCCCCCCATTCAAGGGGTTGGCACAAAGGAAATCACTTCTTTTTTTTTGTTGTTGTTTGGCCACATCATAATTCATTTGTTTCGGTCTCCGCGTGGAAGGGCGGCAAATGTAATTTCCTAAATCAAGCCGGGCCATTGTCTGGGAAATTCAAATCGCTTTTCGCCGCTACGATGCTGTGCGCTGCCGTTGGGCTGGCTGCCTTCTGATTCACAGTCAATAAAATCAAATTTATTTCAGTTAGG